CAATAATTAAAAATTATGCCTACATGGTAACTTTCTAACTAATATTAATTGCAGGCAAAAATGAAAATATTTTTTTAATGGCTGCTCAAAAATTTGATATGCAAATTTATTCACATAATTGCTGGTTCTTACTTGTAATGTCTTATATTGTGCATTATCCATTTAATTGTTCCTACTTTGCACAAAATGTCCCTTACCAATGTATATTGACGAATTTTATTGCCCCTTGTATGCCTCTGTGTAGACAGCATACATCAAAGACATTTGCCGACAGACCTTTTGATCATGAAAAAAGTCATGCACAATGTTTCTCTGATTGGTTAATCACCCTGTCAAACATTCTGATGACGAAATATACATCTTTTTTTACACTTCATCAGCCAAAACTTGCGTGAACTTGAGTGACCTTAGGGTTGATCAAGTTGAACACCTGTCAGATTATACTGTAACTTACAGCATTTCTTAAAATAGCAACACTTTTTTTTCAGTTACCGATAATCATTTCAAATATTAAGTAGTTGTATAATTTGTTTGTTTGTTTTATTGGATTAAATTTACGGTAGTAGAAATGAGTATCTGTGTGGGAATGGGATTATGAGAAGAAATGCGGTAAGTAGATAACATGGACAAAAGCTATAGGGGAATGGATAAACTAAAGAATATGCGTAATTACAGGAGCATGGGTAACATGTTGCTGTTGGTACCAGTTTTGACTGGATGACTAAATAACCCAGCAGACAGTTTTGTTTTCTTATAAGTCTGGCACAGATTTTAGATGCGCCAATGGCCCTTTGCTGCCGATTTTCCTGCGCCATTCTAATTTTTTTAGCGCCAATGGCGCAAAATCGCGTCCTCGGCAGATCTCTGCCTACTGGTAATGCTTAAACCTAAAACCTTGAAGTGTAATTCAAAAACATAAAACTATCAAAGATCAATAATACAAGGAACAAAATAACAAATAACAGATTTGAAAGAGTGGATATGATTTCAAATCAAGGAAGACAATATAAAATTTTGTGACTACACCTAAATCAAAATGGATGAAATTCAGTTTATTCAAGTTTGGACTGCTTTTTTAGCATCTTTTGTTATATTTGTAACCTGGTTTGCACCTCGATATCTTGGACGTAAAACAACACTTTCAAAAGATACCCAAACTGTTAAACCAACAACAAATTCTGCTCAAACTGAAACTATGAGGTTTACAGAACGCTTGACAAATTACGGAGACAAGAAAGTAAACTTTAGAGAAAAATTTGATAAGTTTTGTGAAATTTGTGAGGCAACCATAGAAAATGAAGCTGTTGGATTTTGTCAAATGTGTGAAAAGTTTTTGTGTTTAAACTGTTGTCAACATCATGAGAAAATTCCACTATCTGAAAGTCATGTGTTGACAGGAAAAGACGAATTCTCAAAAGTGAGAAACAAAAAGAAACTGTTTGAAAAAAAGTTTGTTACACTTCAAAATTATCGTTTTTATGAATGTAATGCTAAAGAATGTAGTCTAAGAAATTACTCATGTCGAAGATGCACCTTTGACCACGTTATTCAACCATTTTGTTTGACACACAATGCTGCTGAATGGAGGAATTCAATAGGATGCTTCATGACGAGAATCAATAAAGGTTGCAACCTAGTGTTGCAGTGGCAGGATAAGCTGTCTGGACATACAGAAAAAAAATATATACCACTATCAAAAGACTGTACACCTGCTGATATTTCTATGTTCAAAAGTTCTTCACAGATATTTTCTACATACTACTTCACCATTCCTAATGAACAAAAGATATGTAAATATACAGACAATGCTGATGTGGAATTCATTCATACCTGTGGTAAATGCTATGGAATAGCAGTTTTCGATGAAGGTCTTGCTATAACAATTAATATACCAACAAGCTATTCACTACCTGAGTGGCAAGTACAGTTTATCACTTTCAAAGGTTATTTAAAAAAGCAAATTTGTTTTGACAATGACGGCGAACCACTGTTTAAAGAACCAAAATATCTCACAGCCAACAATGCTCAAGACATTTTATTTCTTTCAGACCAGGGAAATCATTCAGTTATTGCTTTGGATGTCAAAGGATATATTCTCTTTAAATACACACATGAAACAATTCAAAACCCTCGTGGGTTAACCTGCGACGATGAAGGAAATATCTATGTTGCTAGTGGTGACAAACTTCTACAAATAGATCAGCATGGCACAAAATCTCGAGTCATTCTCATCTCAAAAGAAAAACAATTAAAAAAATTAATTGATGTATGCTACAGTACATATGCAAGTGAACTTGGAGTTCTTAGTGAATCTGCTGAGGTGACTATTTTAAAACCCCTACCATGAATGAGATTTTCATTAAATTAAAATGCCATATCTTTTGAACTGAAAAATCTGATCTACCATTTAGAAAGTGATCGTCACTTTTGATAATGCTTGTGGAATGGTCATAAGTTTAAACTTGCAAACAAAGATTCAATAAACATATTTAAATAAAATACATTTTCAATATTTTTTCCCCTACATTTTTCCTTTCTTCTGTCATTTCTCCATAAGTTACCTTAGTCATCTCTACATGTATAGTGATATTTCAACAATAAAATATTTTCTTATTCTTATACATTCAAAGACCTCACATCTAACTGCAACAATTTTGTATCCTTATTTTGAAAATTTACCTTTACTGATGAGGAATGTTTTTTCAACCCAGTCTTTTGAATTTCCTTGTGAAATGTTTGTAAATGTTGTTTATGTACAATTTATTGAAAAAATAAAGTTTAAACTAATGTTACAACTAAATATTAAATAAGTTGTTATTGTGTAGATAATTCTATTAACTGACCTATTCTAGTTATAATGTCACTCATTGTTTATATGGAGAATTTTGTTTGGCATTTAACTTAACCTTTATGACTTAGCTTTTTTACACTTATTGAAATACATTTTATTATTAGACAATAATGAAGAACTGACCAAACAGAGTAAATTTTTTTCTAACAAGGGGAACAACTTTGTAGAACACTAATAATTTGTAACTTTTTGTTTTGTTTTGGTTTCATGACTGACTAATGGGCCCACATTCCTCTCACAAAAAAGTAGTATACAACTGTAGATGTTGCTTACATAATTCAAAACAAATACTGCATGAACATGTGTAGGGTCCTAAAGCTACATGTACAATTGTTCAAATCATATCAGAAGTAAAAATATTCATCAGAATAGGGAACACATGGCCATAATTACCCTAGAATGCTCATCATTGCTAGAAAGTCATATATTCTTCAATGCAAAAGTAGGTCTCATTGGTTGTTATCCATAATCTTATCTTGATTTCAAACAACTATTTGAAGACCGATGCTCGTTTTTAGAATTAGCTCCCTTGGAAATCATTGTGATCATAGAATGGGGACCTCAGGGCTTGGCCAAGGTTGATTCCAAGGACAAAACTTATACAACTTTTGGAGCAGCACTAGACAATGCTAAATCACCATGTATTCCTATATAAGTGTATATAAACAAGCAATTTCATTGAATTGATTTCACCTTTTTTATGATAGAAATCATATGAATGAAACTATGAAAATGAATTAAGTATTATTACTTATTACACAAAACACATAATATGTCAACTAGAATGGTCCATATACATTTTATTAAATGACATCTTATTGAGATCATTATAATGGCATTATAACATTATTATAACATTGTGTAAATGTCATTTCATCATCCATTAAAAGTACATGTATGTTAGAAAATTGAAAATTTATGCCCAAGTAATCAAGTATGTTAAAATTGATTAATCATGATTGGCTATATTGGCTATAAGCAATGTATTTTGTTTTATGCTTAATAAAATTCGTATTCGTATTCGATTGAATATAATCAAAATATAAAAACTAATACATGTATATTTGGCATTGCTATAATGCCCATTGTGAGATATACTGTACAAGTGGATATTTCCACATGTTGAAGAGTTAGCAAATTTAAAATTCCAGACATTTCACATGAGGAAATATTAGCCAATTGTGCAAGGGTACACATAGAATTAAATGACAGGTTGGTTGATATTTACGCTAGAGGAAATTTTAGTGATTTTCCTTAATTTGCCAATATTTCTGCTTCACTAACTTAACCACTTATACAGTACATGTATAAATAAAGACTGGAGAATAATATGTTTTACTAATATCATAAAATTTAAAACATTGAAGTTCCATATACAATTAGTAAAAAATCCACTTTGAAACACATTTGTTCTTGACTGTGTCATACAAATGGTGAATCTTATAATATAGAGATAACTTTGCTGTATTTGTTTATACCAGGATATGGCTTTCGATTGACAATTTGCTTTACAAATCCATCCTAAAATAATAATGGGCCATAATTCATACACCCATGAATGAGAATGGCATTTGAAATACAAAGTGCCATATTCAATATAAAGATTCAAGTTAGTTTTGATAAAAAGAAACCTAATTAAGCAGTTAGTTCTTGAAATATGAAGACCCAAGAGTCATGAACCTTGTTATATGTATGAATGGTGTTAAAGGAACAATAATTTTAAGTCTGAATAACAAATTTTAAGCAAATGTTTTGTTTATTACGTGGGGAGGATAAGTATTACCAGTACATTAAAGGTGCTAGGGTCATAGACTTTTTCATATATTATGTAAAGGATGATAAGAAACATGTGTAGTTAAAGCTCATAGTAAATTTTATAAGAAATTACAGTAAAATATACATTATGGCACAAAAACTTTAATCAGAAATCTGAATGTAGAAATGAGTAGAATAGCTTTGAATACATGTTATATAGTAGATGTAAGTAAGTAAGTAAAAGCTTTATTTATGGAAGCTATACACTTGGTTTCCCAATCTTCCATGTGGGCCTCAAAAGTAAAGATGTAACATACTAACAAATAATTTACAGTCATATTGTAAGAGTAGAGGTAAAGATGTAACATATTAACAGATAATTATAAAAACTTACAACAACTGCCATGCCATTGAGATCAGAACTACAGCTAGCGGCTGTTGCTGATGTATTAGGTACTGTATTAGTTCCCACCTCACTTATGTGTATCTTTGAAATAGGAATCTTGAGAGCTCGACTTGCAACCTAATTCAAATAAAAAAGGTAAGTTAATTTTTTGAATTCTAGCAGCAATCACAACTTATCTTGCCACCAGTATAGAGCCACATCAGCCAGCATATCTGAGGTGCTTTTCACTAACATACTTAACTAACTCGAGTTTGAAAAGTAACTTTTTGCGTTAGCAAAACTTACATATCTATTTTTGTTTCACTAAACTTTCTTAGCTACGCATTTGCGTAAGATTAAATGTAATGTTACGCTCACTTATTACTGGCGTAAATTGCCACACTGTTAACCATTTCACTGCCATAGGGACGGCTTATGCCGTCCCTGTTATTTTCGGCGTATTTGCCATATGGACGGCTTTAGCCGTTTCTATAATAATAATAGTAATAATAATAAATTAATAATAATAATAATAAAAATAATAATAAATATAAAGAAAATTATACCATCGACAATAATTATTATTATACTCACAGATTTGGAAACATATATAATTATTATAATACTAATAACAAATAATAATAATTATATAAATTAATAATATAGTAATTTCTTAGAAAACCCTCTGGCAAATAGGTGATCAATAAAACAATAACCCTCTGGCAGCGAAAGGGTTAAGTGAAACGCAACTAATATAAATTTACATTTTGTGTAAGTCCAAAGTTACGTAAAAAGATACGCAAAACTTACTGAATGTTCGTGAAACGCTCGCCTGTACTGTCTGACCAGGCTCTATTGTGCTTTTGTTTATTTTCTTTTTTACATACAATAACATCGTAATGATTTCAAAGTAATAAGATATACATTTTTACTTAATTTTTATTCCTTGATAAGTCAATAACACATATATCTATATTTGTATATACTAAAACTATATCTTCAGATGAATACATATTAAATTTTAGTTGAAAGATTTCTCGACCACTCCCCCCCCCCCCCCTCAAAAAAAAAATCTTCATCATTAAATTTCATTGAATCTTCATGCGAAATGAAAACACTTTTGATCAGCTGATAAAGTGCTGCTGGAAGTTTGTTTATCATATTGTATCAGGATATAGTATATCCCCATGTTGTATTGCCATGTACCTGGGAAGGAAATAAAGAGATCTTTACAAGATTTCAGCAATAACAGGATTATAACTTAAATTTTACCTTTTTGAAAACTGATAAACTGCAAATACTATGATAAAATCTAACCTGTATCATTTTCGTGTGAAGACCTTGCCCCATCTCTACACCACCATGTGTTAGTAATACTGATCCATCCTGGTATATATGTACCAATGCACCAGCCTATAAGTATTATACCAAAAAAACATTATTACAAAATATTACAATGAAATATGCATGTCTAAAATTTCAAAAGAGATGTTTGTGAACCATGTATGCCTCCCATGTATTAATTAATGAGACATGTTACATTGTGAAACATGTATGCTTTTATACATGTACCTACTAATATAGAGTCATGTTATATTGTAAATCATTTAAAGATCAGGACATGGTCACTGTGACCTTGTCCTAACTGTAATTGGCTGGTTACTGCAAAGATTTTCTTAATTTCTATAACTAAAACATATTTTATATGAAACATGAATTTGTTTTGATAAGGTCACTGAGGCCTTTGACTGTATGACTGACTAACCTTAAAATCTATTGGGGTCATCTACTAGTCATGACAAATCTCCACACAAAGTCTTAGGGCTGTTAGCTCAGTCTCAAGTTATTGGTTGGACTAACATTTATTGGTCAAGGCCACTGTGACCTTTGACCGACTACTTAAAATAAATAGGAATTATCAACTTGTGATGACCAACCTCCACACAAAGTCTTAGGATTGTTAGGCTATAGTATTATTAAGTTATTGGTGAGACAAGTGTGCTTTACAGATTGACCGACTGATTGATGGATTGGCAGGCGCAGTAAAAGCAATTAACCCCCTCTCTTTCAAAGGGGTCATCATTAAATAAAATTCAAATTAAGAAATTAATAGAATAGCTTGTTTTTATATCAGAGAAAACAGACTGACTGTTGTACCTTTCATGTTTTTAAAATTACTAGTTCTAAACCTCAGCCTAAAATAGTATGCAGCATAGCCATTTAGAAATAAAGTATAGCTTGTCTCTAAACTGAGGACATTAGTCAACAACTGTTATACACAAAATTTAAACACCACTGAGGTCCAAATGCTTAGAAACATAAATTTTCAAAATCATAAATGTAACGAATATCAAGTGAAGCAGTTAAAATGGAACAATCTGCAAAGGACAACAAAAAAATATACACAGAATTAAATGAGACATTTTAAACAACTTTTAGCCAGTTTTGAGCGAAACTCTTTTTATTTGCACTATAAAAATGATCATTCTAGAAAAAGGGAGAGAGGGACTGACCTGAAAATGTACTCACAAATAACTGGTCTAGACCTACATCAGTAGGTACAAAAATCTCGAAAAAATATTTGCAGTCCTGTCATGTCAATAAATCTCAGTGGAGTGCCTTTAATATGTCAGAAAAAAATTGTACCTGATTTAAGAACTGAGCAGTATAGGAAATTCCAAACTTTGTTGCCACCATTGTGATACCTCTTTTCTTCCAACGATTTTCACTGTGGATATAATAAATCAATCTTTTAGAATCAAATTTTCATAAAAGTTAACACAATAGACAAACTGATAACGGAAATTCTTATTGCTGGAAAATTCTAGAATTTTTTTAAAAAAACATAATGAAGCCTTTTGGGTTTTTTTTTTGTAATAACATTCTTTTTATGCTGCAAGGAAAACAATGTTGTGAAAAACTGAATATTTTAATAAAATAGATTAACCCATTACTTCATATACACGCCTTTTAACGCCTTTTTCACCCCCCCCCCTTTTTTGTTGTCTCAAATGATGAAAAAATGCCTTATTTAGGCCCCAAACACTTGTTTTTGTTTGAGAAATGTTGTTAAAAAAAGTGACCTCTTTTTCGGCGCGGCCCCCCAACCAAAAGATACATCAGGGGGTTGCCAGAAGGGGGATGTGCCCCCTTCTGTTTGGGGGGTTTGAAGGGGAGCGGAGTCCCCGCTCATCGCCAAGAAAATTTTGGACTTGTGAGAGGCTGTAAATGACCCCAGATTGATCATAAGGTAACGTGTAACCAACGCTGAAAAGCATTTGACTCTATCTCAATCCATTGAGAAGTTGCAGCAACTTGAAATCAATTTTGATGGAAAAAATCAACGCAAAATAGTGATTTTTGGCAATTTTGAGATGTCCCCTCGTTGCCATGGTAACAGAAAATTTAAGCCTGAGCATGTTGTTGCAAGGGCAATGGTCCAGTCAACATTTGTGCCAAGTTTGATTAGTGTTGAAGCAGTTTTTATAGTATTATAGCAATTTGAACTTGTAACGGGAGACTTTTCAATGAAAACAGCCATTTTTCACAAAATGCTCATGAAGTAATGGGTTAAGTTTAAAACTGAATGTTAATACTGACGGTCTGATGTCATGCTGTGTTACAATTGTATTGTTCTAAAGACACATTATGCCTCAGAAACAAACAAATATTTTACTTCTTTAGAAGGGGCAAACATGAATTTCATAATGTTGGAAAAATGGTTTCAGAGAAATGTTTAGTGCTCATTACCTAAAAATTTGTCATTAAAGTAGCAAAATGTAAACAAAGTTGTATTTTGACTTCCATACTATATACTAATTCACTATAACTGTACTTACAGTGATGAAAAAGTTGGTTCTGGTAATTGGCCAATGAATAACTTTTTGGATACTATAAAGTACAGCAAAATTAAAAAGCTTTGGAGAAATAAAAATAAAAGCATTTTTGAGGCATAATGGGTCTTTAAAGAAACAATTTAATTTGAAGTTTTCTTCTCTAAAATATTTATTCTATAAAATAAAGATGGAGCTCAATTCACAACGGTGAACTAACCTATTAAATATATCCACTTCCTTTTTACGTCTGAAATATTCACTCTGGGTCTTGCATTCGTTCCAACATTTCTGGATAGTACAGTTTACAAGTTCCTGCCCATAATGAGTTATGTCCCCTTCTTGATATAGATTTAGCTCCCTTATCTGAAGTATATGTCAAGGTCAATTAAATGAAATATGACTAATAAATAAGGTATTGTAAGTAAATCCAAGCAACATATCACATATTATTTTCTAAAATAATAATTCTTCATGCTTGTAAATTTGAAACAAGAACAGGTCAAATCTTTCTTATACTCAGGCTTGAAATTATACTTCCATTTTACATTTGAAATTAAATGAGATAAAAAAAGGTTACCCAACACAGTAAAATACTTGGATGAAGTTTACCTCGATCAAGTCTGACTTTGATGGTAGCAACTTCACAAGATACAGATGTTACAAGGAACTCTGCAAATATGGGTTTTTCCCATCTAATCCAAAGGTACAAACAAACTTTTACAGTTATGATGTAACAGTGAGCTACCGTTCACAAAAGAATGGTCAACATGTTGTGCTTATTGTAGATATTTTTACCAAATTATTACTGTAAAATGTTGTTTGTACCTCAGTACTTAAGATGGGTAGGACAATTACAGAGTTTCTGGAATATCTCTGTTATAAACAACAATCAGTATGACATTAATACTTCTACCTTTACAGATGATACCGCCAGGGTGTACGCTACATCTGTAAAACACTGTTCAACTACCATCATGCCCTGCGGTCCACCAAATCCTCTGAACGCTGTGTTGGATGGTATATTTGTCTTACATACATGGCCTGTTGTACGAACATTAGGAATCTTGTATGCATTGTCTATATGAAACATTGCACGCTGTGTTACCTATAACAGACATAATATAATTATGTTCAAAATTAAATGGATTATAAACTCATAATAATTTAAAAAGTTTGAGTTATGTATTTGAATAATTCCTAGAGGAATCGGAGAACAAGACTGGGACAGAAATACAATAAAATCCTTCCATTATCAAAGATAGAGATAACTACAACATTACTGGTGGTGGTACCAGTACAAGTTGCCTTCACTTTCGCAAGAAACTGAAACTTCTGTACATACCAGAGTAGAGGTACAGTCCAAATGACTATAGAAAAGATTTGATAATCTATGACAACCGAAGTGACCTGCACCTTCCCGGTTTCAAGCCTGGGTCATCAAATTCACAGTCCATTGCTCTACTTACTGAGCTTACCGGATGGTTTCCACAGAATCACGAACATTAGAATTGATATAATGTAGGATACTTACAGCCCATGATAGGTCCAGTGACATACCAGCATTACTATAAAGGTCAACCTCTAATGCTGTTATCTTTCCTCCATCCATAAATCCTATCTATAAATAGAGTAGGTTCAAAGATTAATCTATAAATAGAGTAGGTTCAAAGGTTTTTAACAATGCAAGAGCTATTTAATGGCAGAAAGGGGCGTCCATGGCCGAGTGGTTATTGTCGTTGACTTCAAACCACTTGCCCCTCACTGCTGTGGGTTCCAATCCCGACAGGGACTTTGGATTCTTTCATGTGAGGAAGCTATCCAGCTAGCTTACGGAACGTCAGTGGTTCTACTCAGGTGCCCGTTTGTGCCTGATATCATGCACGGAAAGGCACCTAAGGTCTTTCTCCACCTGTAAAGCTGGAACGTCGCCATATGACCTATACTGTGTCGGTGTGACGTAAAACCCAAACAAACAATAATGGCAGAAGGCATTCAAAAAATACTATTATTATGCAATTAAAGTAAAACCTTTCCTTATGCAGATATTTTATTTTGAAAAATACAGTAATAAAGTATTACAATGTAATACATTTATGTATTCTAAGCTCAGCAATGCATAATTTCTAATGTTTTTTTCTATGTACATGTATGCTACTGCCTTTCTAACATAGTTTTACAAAAAAGTTTACAAACATATCCATGTTAAATGGGCTCCAGCAATCAATATCTTTGTTAAAGCATATCATTTTATCATTTAAAAATAAGACTTCATTCATTAATAAAATATAAGGGTGTAATAAACACTCATAGATTAAGAGAAATGTTACTTTATATTTTGCATAGAAAGGATGTCTAGTCCCTGTCATCAACATATCCTCATCACGATCTAACATCACACGTACTGGACGTCCTAGTCTAAAAAATATATATTATATACCTATATCATCATAGCAATACTGTGAATTTTGAACAATGAAAAGGACCATGGCTTAGTGGTTAAGGTCTTGGCCTCTAAATCAAGGGATCAAGAGTATGCACAACTAGGCTTGGTAACAAACAATCCTGTGAAGTTTCACTGAAAAACCCCAGCAGTTTTGGTGATAAAGTGTGGACAAGCTTATTTTACTTGAAAATTGACCATTAAGGGGCCATTACTGTGCAAAAAAATATCATACAAAAAATCACGATACTATGTACAACTAAGCATGGTGACAAAAAATCCTGTGAAGTTTTACTGTAATCCCCTCAGCGGTTTTTGAGATGAAGCGCAGTCAAGATTACCAGATGGACAGACAGACAGGACTGATGGACAGTGCAATTACTATATGCTACCCTTTGTGGGCATATAGATGAAGAAGTTTAACAAGATTCCTATGTTTGTTTGTTTGTTTGTTTCATTTTACACCTTTTTTCAACAGTATTTCAGTCATATAGGCGAGTAGTTTCCTAACCATCGTTCCTGGAGAGTTACACCAGTACTAGACTACCTTCCTCCGCGCTAAACTACCAAAGCATCTCCCGGGGATCAAACCCACGCCAGAGAGGTAACTGGATTAGAAGTCATTGACTCTAACCCCTCAACCACGGAGGCGGACAAGATTCCTATGTACATATAAATGATATACTTAAACAGCAACCATTTGATTTTAAATAAATATTTAATACAAATACATGTATGATATAAACAATAACTGTTATTTACTTGTTGGCTGCTACAGCAACAGGTGTAGAAATGATAATGGATCTGGTTTCCTTCCCTCCAAACCCACCACCTAGCCGTTTCACTCGGACAACAATTCTGTTGGCAGGAACATTTAATGCCTCTGCTGTAACACTCTGTAATTATACACGGCATTAATTAATGCTTACCCTACATGCTTAAACCAACGCTAGTCTTTCCGTTAGATTTACCCATGCTTAGGATGATGTAATTTTACTGTTATGAATGAAGTTGTGATTGATTTCATATGCTGTTGTAAGAAAATAGTTATGGGTGAAATGACTTAAATTTCCATGGAAAATTGTTTTATTAAGGGAAAGTATTTGAAGTATAATGGAATATGGTAGAATATGCAAGAAAATCTGACACATGTTTGTGGTTTGGATGGGAATATCCGTCCCTCGGGAACCCACCCATATACCGATCTGAATCATAACATATGACAGATATTATTAGTATTTGTCAACAATATAGACATCTATGCAGTCAGACAATGGCTCTCCCCTGTTAGTAGATCAATTTTTTGTATTTTAATTGATATTGGTATACCCTTAACTTGAACAGACTATTTGAAATTCAAAGCAGGGAAAAGTCATTACAAAAAAGCCTGCAGGGTCAGTGTAAATTTCTACTTATCCTTATCTATTTGTGTAATGCAGAAGCCCAGTGCTTTGAATTAAGATCAGTCTACAAGTACTCACCCTTTACATAGTCAATTAGTGATATGTATTTCTCTAAAATGTCACTTGTATCTGGTACAGTGCATGCCAACAGTATAGAGTCAAATTGCACTAATCACTTATGGTGGCAGAAGATACAGGGTTAAAATTTAAGGTATTCAAATTAAAAGTAGGAATTGATGCTAAAGACAATGAAAGGTATGTTGTTATAGTTTTAAAAGAAAAATATTCAAACAAGTTATATTTCCAATTTGTACTGAAATAACAACAAATACATCTGACAGATTTTTGATTCCTGCAGATAAAATGAAAGTAGAAAATAAGGTAGACCATATTTTTCAGTTGAATTTAACCAAATGCCTTTTCCCTTATTTCCTTATAAACAATAATTCCTTAGCTTTAACTTATTCTTTTCATTCATTAAAGAAGGGAAATTTATTGTTCTTTATAACCGAAAATTTGCTATTACAATGTTTGCTATAAGAAGAGTTTACTGTATTGTTTATTTGTTTTATTTGGACATTTAAGAGGAAACATTTTACCTGTGTTTCAGTAGGATTTTGTGTGGACACAAACATTTCCATTTCACCATCTTCTAATTTAGGCACAGCAATGACAGCTTGTGTTTCCAGATAGAAATGTTCCTGACCACCCACATGACATTCACCTTCTATCACATGATCAGCTTGCTGGAATGCTGCATTCACATCACCACAATTAATTGACAGTGGTTTACCATAGAATGATCCCGCCTCAATAGCCTCCTATAATTATTACAATATAGTAAATTGACAGAGGTTAAATGTAATATGATCCCCCCAGATACTTTCTTTATTACAGTATAATAGTTAATTGACAAAGGTTTACAAAAGAATAATTCAGCCCTATATTACAGTACCTTTAATTGGCATGGTTTACCATAGAATGATCCTGTCTTATGGCTTCCCCTTTTAAATACAGTTAATTGACATAGGTTTACAGTAAAATGATCCAGCCTCAATAGCTTACTAGGTAACTACATTAAAATATGGTCAACTGACAGATGGTTTACTGTAGAATGGTCCGGTTTTAATAATTTACAGTACATTTTTTATATGATCAGGCCTTGAAGGTACCCTATTATACAGTACAGTTAACTGACAGTTGTTTTCTATAGAATGATCCAACCTTAATATCTTTCTATATAACAGTACAGCTAGTTCATGCGTTTTTTTGTTTTTTTTGTTGTTGTTTTTTTAGTAAGGAAATAGATGAGCTTATGGTCCAGGTGTATTCCTCTCAAACTAGATATTATGGGTTTGAGCCTAATTTGAGCTATGTTAATGCTCCCTCATATGACACATATGATATATTCTGTGGTAAAACTCTGTTACTCAACTACATTGTATTATAGGGAACTGTCAATGTAAATGGATTAATAGTGTTCAATTATTTTCAGATTCTGACAGAATAATCCTCGGATCATATTATCAGCTGCAGGTCTGCTGTTATACATTCTGTAAGACAAAACCACAATAACTGACTATTATTATTTACAAGCAAAGGGAGCAAACTCAAACAAAAATACATGAATTAATATTTACCTTTATAGTGATGATTGGTTTTAACTCTTCATATTCCACTTTAACACATTTAGCTGCTCTCTGTGCTTGTATTTGAGTTTCTGCAACTATTCCAGCTATAATCTGTCCTTCACATAGTACCTATAACATATTGTACAAAATTATGAACATATTTTCTACAATATAAACACATTATTTATCACAATGTACTTACAACATTACCAATATACACACAATATCTATCCTTGAAAACAAGTATATGCCAATGTGTCAAACATTAATCAAAAACTATGGTGGAAAAGCAGGACTGACCCAATATTGGTGACTACACAAGTTAATATCATAGAAAGCATTCAAAAAGTTCAGTTATGTGTTCTATGGAAAACAATAGCCACACAGGATTGAATCAAAAGATTGACTGGTACGGGGATTAGTTTTAAATGTCCCATATGGAGTTTTGGGACATATACTGTTTGTATACCTGAGATGAAGCAAAGATTTCCTCATCATCTGGAATAGTAGCTCCCCATTTGTTGTGACCGGGGACGTCCTTGTGAGAGATAAAGTCCACAACCCCAGGCATTGTCAGCGCTTCTGATGCATCAACATTGACAATGTTAGCATAGGCTTTCTTGCTGGTTACAAATGCCATATACAACTCATCTGTTGACATAAAAAATAATAATAAAGCTAAGGTGTTTAACAGACCAGTGCGTAGGTCTAGGTACATATATAAATCTTTTTTTTTTTTGCAGGTTACAAATGCCATATACAGCTCTTTTGTAGACATCATAAAAAAGTAATAAAACTAAGGTGTTTAACAGGCCAAAGGGTAGGAATGGATATAAATATAATTCATTATTTTCCTAGCTAGTAAAATATTATGACCAGTGAGATATAATCTGGATCACTCACAGTCACTGTATATCTTTCACTTCAACACACATTGTTACACAAATAATCAACTGTAACATATCACTAATTCAGACAGTATATCAAGTTTATCATATGGGTGCATGTTCAAATATCAAAAAAATAATAAAGAAAACCCTGAATTTAATATTTGGCTTTAAAAATAGAAAAAGAGTCCTATCATGAGTATAAAAACCTGATCTTAGACAAATGCCTGAAACAGCAAAATAAATGACATTCAGCTAGTTTTTTTTCTTTTAACAAGGATTTTAATGTGATTACATCAATTCTTAAACTATTTATGAATTAAGGATTTAACTCACTACAGTGTCGAAGAAGCATAGCTAGACACTTGACAAAATCATGATCACAAAGTAGAAAAATATCACTTTTTACGTTGATTTTAGCATTTTCAATTATTATAGTTTATAAATCGGCATGAAAAGATGAATAAAATGTCTTAAAGTCCAGTTCAGCGGATGAAAAGTTGAGTTTTTAGCATTTAATCATTCAAGTCTGATATATACTGGAATATGGTATTTAGAGTGGTGCTCCTACACTTTTTATTAGTCTCACTCTGAATTTAATATATTGTTCATGTAGACAAAAATTGACTGGAAATAACAGGATATATTGTCAGTTTTATATGTAATCTACATTAACTTACTGTGAAGTTTAGGCATATTGTCAATATAAATCATTTTGACAACACTTACTGTGAAGTTTAGGCATATCATCAATATAAATGGCTTCTCCAGTAGTTTGTTTCATTCCTGACATATGTTTGATATTACGACCGACGGGGTCATCTTCTAACTGCCCTGGGGCTACTTCCTGGTACATCTGAATACTCTTTGACGAGTCACGGTGAAATGGGGGCGTGGCACTATGGAAGTATGAAGGTACTTTGGTTTTTGATAGGTGCTGAAAAAAATAAAGTGAAACAAAATAATATTACTGATAATAATATCATTCTAACTTAGTTTGTTTGGCATCTTGAACACGGCTAATAATTCTTAATATAAATCATGGATAGAAATCAGGTCTGATTGACAACAAATATTCAATATAAATATATATCCATCTATGTCTGGATACTGCCAACCCCTCTCGTGAGTGTTAAAGGCAGGAATTAAGTGAAAGTCAGATTGTTAGTAAAAACTGAAAGAAAAGCAAAATAGTCCAAGCATTATGAACATAGAAAGGAAGTCCAAAAGCATAGCTTAATTGAAAGCAATTTCAGAATAAAATGACTATTTTAGTGCAAATTACCATAGACTGTAGTTGCATTTGTACTGTGAGGTAGAATTTGAAGAAAAAACTGATTGTAAGGGTTCGCCTGTACTCAACCATCCCTCCCGGTGCTCCAGCTTGTAACGGGAGATCATCGGCTAGCTGCTTGCATACATCTGTGACTAGACTTTCATCCCACTTCCTGTAACATACAAATACACCACAAAATATAGACTCATGATTTAATAATAAACATGATGCAACCTATATTTAGCATTTACCTTTTTTCTTTTTGGTTGTGATTTATGCTGCACCAAAACTGTAAAGGTCATATGGCAACTTTTCAGCTTTAATGGTTGTGGAGGATCTCAGTAAAGCTGGAAAGTTGACATATGACCTATACAGTGTTGTTGCCAATGACCAGTATGTAATTATAAAACATAAATGATAAATTTTTTACCAGTGAGATATAAGTCATATCACATTGTTTAAAACTGACCGAGAAATAGATTTCTTGTCCCTGTTTTATATAATCAGGGATATTACAAATAAGAACACATAACAGGTTAAGATTTTCATGATGACATGGATAGTGTCATATAAGTTAGCATCATTAGGTGCAAATTCTGATAATCTTTTAATAATTTAATAGAACTAGAACTCCGCGAGTCGGATGTGTCGCCTTGTGAACAATATAGTTTAGGAGAAATGGCAGGGACAAAAATGATATTTGAAAATCAACAAAGGGCAATAGCTCAAAAAATAAGAAATGCAGAGCAGCAGTTTCTATGCATTGCACTTCTCAGTATCAATAAGATCTATCATCCTACTAAGTTTCAAGTCAAAAGCTTTTATAATTTATGAGAAATGGCCTGGACAATAATAAAGTTTGAAAATTAACAAGGGCAATAACTAAAAAAATAAGAAATGCAGAGTACCAGTTCTTGGGCACTGCACTTCTTCTTAATGAGATCTATCATCCTATGAAGTTTCATGTCCATAGCTTTTATACTTAAGGAGAAATGGCCTGGACAAAAATAAAGTATGAAAATAAACAAAGGGCAATAACTCAAAAAATAAGAAATGCAGAGTACCAGTTCTTGTGCACTGCACTTCTCCTTAATGAGATCTATCATCCTATGAAGTTTCAAGTCCATAGCTTTTATACTTGAGGAGAAATGGCCCGGACAAAAATAAAGTATGAAAATTAACAAAGGGCAATAACTCAAAAAATAAGAAATGCAGAGTACCAGTTCTTGTGCACTGCACTTCTCCTTAATGAGATCTATCATCCTATGAAGTTTCAAGTCCATAGCTTTTATACTTGAGGAGAAATGGCCCGGACAAAAATAAAGTATGAAAATTAACAAAGGGTAATTACTTCAAAAAATAAGAAGTGCAGAGTACCCGTTCTTGTGCACTACACTTCAGGTCATTATAAGAAGCATGCATACCAAATTTGAAGTCAATTCGACTTATAATGACTGACTTATGCTCCGGACAAGCTTAAGGGGACGCCGACGCCGACGCCGACAACGACACCGCCGACAAAAGTAACACCTATATGTCGCCTTTTTCAAGGCGACACAAAAACTGTAAAATGCTGAATAAGATTAAAAGAATTTTTTTTAGGTGATTTAAAAACTATAACTTATCCTAGCCTTACCTTCCTACAGCAGCTGACATAGTTTTTGTGGGCATTACAGTTATAACAGACATGCCTCCATATGCCAGGGATAACTTCTTTATAACATTACTGTTATCTTCAAACTGTACATAAATCCCTGCATTAACTGTGGCAATATCATCTTCTCTTCTATATGCTTGCTTGTAACCACCAAAATACTCATTCTGTATCACAAAAGTACAATATTGTAACTATCAAAATACTCATTCTGTATCACAAAAATAAAATTTTGCAACCACCAAAATACTCATTCATAAAAATAGAATATTATTCCCACCAAATGCTGTATCACAATAATAACATCTTGTAACCAACTAAATACCCATTCTGTATCACAAAAATATAGATTGTCTAATTAACATAGGAGAAATGAATCATTTCACTTTGTCTAGATATGCCTATTTAAAGTGACCACAGAAAACTGACATAAGCAACTGCTTTAGACAACTTTTACTCATTTTATGCTGTACATGGAATCAAACTTGCAACACTTGATTTTGTAATGGGCAATGTTCCCATAAAACAATGCATTTTCTTTTAGTTAATAATCAGTGGTCAGTGTCATCTATTACAAGGAATCAAGATTTAAACCTCACTATTATTTTCTCTATTTTGGGTGAGATTTTAAAACAAAACTCTTGCAGCTATGTTCTACACCTACATGTATACATGTTTTGAATAGTAAATTTCTCCATTTTGCACCATCTTTGCAAAATATTAGGACTATAGTATTTCTAGAGAGTCAATAATATGGGTTTCAAAGAAAGCTATAAATATTTGCATGACTCATCAATTTCTAGCCAGACCAGCTAGCATTTGATCAGATTCTATAACTATAATCATTTTCATGTTTTTTTTTAATGTTTTAATCTGAATGATATTGTAGATTTTATCCCCATGGCAACATGTTTTTAAATGTAGTATTTACCTTCGATGTAAAAGGAAGCAGTATATTTATCACAACCTCTGTGGACTTTAAAGCAGTCTTTCTGTAACCAAGGAAAAACTTCTCATCCATAACAACCTGTCTTTTACCCTCCTCTGAAATACATCATATCCTTGCTATATCAAATGTTCTTACACAAACAAAGTCTATAACTTAATGTTAATAATTTTAAACACCCAAGATAAGTTTACTAGAAACGTAATGTAGTCTGTCATTTGCAGAGAAATGTAATCACTTGTTAGTTATCCAGGTAAGCCACTTAGGTGGACTGGCCACCTAGATATGACCAAAAATGTATTGAAATTTGGCATAAAAACAAATAATCAAAGAAACTAACAAGGTTGTGCATTTATTTGCATAGAACAATTTATAAATGTTCTTACATTATTAAAATAATTAAAACAGATTAAGAAATCTTACCTTTACTTTGTACTTCCAATATGGCACCCGATGCCAGGAATAAAGGGTTCAAGTCTGAGATAGGACTAGCAGTTATAATATTACCTGCAACAGCCTGTAAACACATCAACAATATACATGTAAAGAATAATATTGTAAAAGAAATATATTCTCCATTTCCAATATGTACATCCACTTCTCTCCAAATCCTTCATTTGAACCATAGCATGAAAGATATCACTGTAAAATATATGCCTATGTGGCAGTATGGCCGAGTGGTTTACGTGTCAGACTAGTAATCTAAGGACCTCTAGCCATGTGGATTCCATCCCTGTCAGGGGCAAGTTGTTGTTTCCTTAAGCAAGTAACTTTACACACAATGCTTAGTACTGGTTGGTTAAAGGAATGAATTTGAGAGTGTGTTTATGCCTATGTAGCTTCCTACACAATCAAACCATCCTAAATCTGAACTAAACAAATGCTTCTACTACAATACAAGCCAACAAATCAGAGGTCCTTAGACCTTATGTTGCTTCTCATGTGAGCTAATCAACAGGGTTCATCCATTATAAGATTATGCAATATTTATTTATTTCAACATATAATTAATTTACTTACAGCAACATTTCTAATCTGGTATCCTGCAAACCATCGTAACATCTCTACAAAAGCTGTAAATACTCTTGTCTTTGGTTCTGAAAGTACAAGAAACCAGTAGAGATTTACAGGTCATATATCTAACAAAGAAACTATGTTATGTCAAAATATTACATGAAAATATTTCATGTCATAAATAGTGAATACAACTATTTTTTCTTCTGCATATAATTAGGAAACGCATTGCCATTTCTTGTTTAATAAAATATTAGCATCACCAAAAGAAGTGAGGAACAAACAAATAATTGCTACATTCATTTATATTATATGAGATATATAGAGTTTAAGTTATACTGTGTGTGAGATATATTGTGGTATATAGAATCAACATGAAAATTCATACCTGGATATTTGCCTATAGCTTGTTTAAGTTCCTGATGCAATCCTGGAGAGTGTAACTGAGGCCCCAAATCTTATGCCTAGATCTGTGTGGGTAATATCAACAAGCTCCGGTATATGTGTTGGTGCTATCATCACAGGGTACTTCATGTTCTTAAACTTCATCTCAACACCTGAAACACAAGTAGTGGTGGCATGGCGGAGTGATTAACGTGTCGGACTAATAATCTAATGATCACAAGCCCCATTGGTTCAAACCCCGTCCATGCCGTCAGGGGCAAGTTGTTGTTTCCTTGAGCAAGAAACTTTACACTCACTGTTCATGATCAGTACTGGTTGGTTCCAGGAACGGATTCCAGAGTGTGTCTATAAGCTTATAGCTTCCTACACAATCAAACTAAAATAAATTCTGTATAAACCAAGTATGGTACTGCTAATGTACACTTTATCTTTCTCTATCAAACTGAAGCAGTCATTTACATGGAAGGTCTAAAAATTAGAACTATCAAGTATATGATTATATAAAATATTTGTTCTCACATGTATATCTATTTGCCACCTGAGTATAGAGACAGTATGACCTGAACATCTATGATGTCTGACCAGGCTCTATACTGTTGGCTAATTTAGTGTAATTCTTCATCTTGGTATACCCATCAATGATAATGGACAGTTCCATAAATGGAAACTGGACAAGTCCATTTAAGAAATTTAGCAGGTTAAGGGTTAAATGTCAAAGATGTATTTATATCATGAAATCTTTCACTGACCTATTTCCGTGTTGCCAACCACAAGTCGAGCATCTTGGTGGGTTGATTTGAGATCTAACAATTCCTGTAATTTAGTTGGTCTATACCAGATCACTCTTTCACCTTCATACACCAGATAATCTGTGTCATATTTGGAAGATGTCTGAAAACATATAAACATATGAGAATATCAGTAACACTGAATGCTGATGCTGCTTGATGTGGCTTTAACAATGCTTAAACATTGTTCTACTAGGGGAAATAGTAGGAAAATCTACTTTTATCCTCAGTGACCTTGACCTTGACCCAATAACCTGAAATTCTATCTGAGTGTAGATATCAACATATCAAATATTTAACATATCAGTCAGTTAATAATGCTATGAGAAATGGTGACATATATAAGACCATGGAAATTACAAGATGGTCTACTGTAAGATGTTATACTAAATAGAGTATCACTGATACAATTAACTTTATTAACTGTGGTAAATTATGTGTGATTAACTGAAAAACTGTGGTAAAATACTTGTGATTAACTTATAAATTGTGGTAAATGACATGCCATTTACTTATAAACTGTGGTAAATATTTGTGATTAACTAATAAATAATATTGTAATCTTTTTAAACATGTGGTAAAACATTTTATACATATGTATTTTTTATATATAGATTCTGGTAAAAGTATTATCAATTTTGACTGTAGTAGGTGACAGGTGACATGTTTTGTCACTTATAAAATGTAGTTTAATACATGTACATGTGATAAACATAATGGTAAATTACCTGTAATTCAGGTGGGAATATTGGATCTTGTGTTGCATCTAGTGGCAAGAATTCTTTGGCATTAACAAGTGATGTTCCAACCTGTAAAAAATATACCAAAAATTGTAAAACTAATTAACATCTACATCATCTGTTATATAATCAGAAGTGTTCTAAATTTTGTGTATTATTTTCTATTTGACATGCTAGTGAGTACATAAATACTTATTATGTAAATGGTGGATGTAAAAAATAGGACTTATGACAGACAAGAACTAGAAACAGACGAGAGTTGTAAACAATTAACCGATAAAACTGAGGTATTCAGGCGTGAAGTAGTTGCAATAATAAATCTTTCTATGTATCTCAACAAATTAGCCAGTTTGTAAGCTACACTTAATTAAATCATTATTATCTTTCTCTCACTACTTTACATTGAATTCACAGACATTTACTTTACATTAATTTATGATGTAATTAAGCTTTTGTTAATCTCACAGCATGTGTTGCACTAACATGTCATAGTTTTCTCGTATGTGATATAGTATTTTATAATGCTCATTATTTTATCCTATGTTATATTGTCAACTATGTATATGCTTCCTTTGCCGAAATAAATCTATCTATTTGGCAATTATAATATTTGTGTTATACTTATATAAAGATGACAGTAATATATATATTGCTGTATCTGGTGTAAAACTAAAGTACACATACATTAAAAAAGATATTTTAAGAAATTTTTCATAGCAATTATCTATAGGCATATATTTTTTTATCCTAACCAGTTGTAAATGGAGTAAAGTTATAATTTTACCTTTATTATTCTCTACAAAATATGTAGATTTGATAAAGTGAGGGTGCAATTCTAAAAATTTTGCCCCTATAGTTATGGGAAACTCAGGGGATGAGAAAATCTTAACACACCTTATTGTAGGTCTATACCCCTGAATTTATTTTTATACTTTTATTTATATACACATATATAAACATATTAAAATATGTTAATCAGTATAATCTATTGTTGCACTCTTCATTATAAGTCACCCAAGAAGGGTTTTCATTTTTATCTGAAGCAACAGATGTGGCTATTAAAACAACCAATTTAGCCAGGGGTCTAGGGGAGTATTTTAATCTACAGGCTAAAAATACACCCGATTTTAACAGTATTTTAACTGATGATATGGATTACCAATCTATTAATAATGAAAACCCTCGGACTAGGTCAGTTAACTCCTTTTATAAAAACATATTCATGTACATCAAGTTACAAAATGTTTTCAAGGTTATTCAATTATCATAGAAATCACAAACCTTACAGCTGCAAATGTTTCATTTTATAACATAATAAAAACTATTACCAAAATATAATATTAACTTTTCTCAACAATCTGTCACACATGACCATAAATATCTAATAAGATTTTATGGTTTAAACATTAAACATCATTAAACATTTAATACATAAAATCAATATTGAAATGGTTACGATGTATTCAGCAAGTATAAACATACCCCATCCTGTGACTGGATATTGTTGTTACCATTTTTATTCCTACAGCAGTTTTCACCCATACCACAGTACTCCTGTATATATACAATATATGAGCCGCATCATGACAAAACCAACATAGTGTGTTTGCGACCAGCATGGATCCAGACCAGCCTGCGCATCCGCGCAGTCTGATCAGGATCCATGCTGTTCGCTTACCAACTATTTTACAAGTAGAGAAACTGATAGCGAAAAGCATGGATCCTGATCAGACTGTGCAGATGCGCAGGCTGGTCTGGATCCATGCTGGTCGCAAACGCATAACGTATGTATATATACAGTATTTCAATTATTCTACAATTACAACATAAAATATACAACATCACATTTTAAATGCATATATGGTTATTTATATTTTTTTGATAGCTTTGAAAATCCTGCTGAGGATCTATTGTCCATCTAAAATGGGGTGGGTTGGGGGAGGCCAGGGTTTTTTGTTTGACTTACTCCAGAATTCATGAGTATTTGGGTTTTATCCAGCTAATCCGTCGGTACAAAAAAACTGTTACAGTTACAGCTTCAAAAATAAGCACAACAGGTTGACTAATCATTATCTATTGTGACAGGTAGTGTACCTTGAAAGTTTGTTTGAACCTCTGGATTAGCTGGGAAAACCCCACTTTTGCTGAGTTCTGGATAATGTTCTATTTAATAATCAAAAGGGCTTTTGGGTCAAGTGGCTTTTGTCCAGATGGCAATGCATTAATAAAACAGTACACTGCATGTCAAGATTTGGTGTTGTAAGTGAATCAATTTCATTAGCTTGGTATTACTGTCCCTAGAAACTATATAATTATGTAATTGCTAAAAATTTAAAACCAGTGAGGGTTACTAAGCATAAGAAATGTACATTTAATATACAAGAAAACAAAGTTACTGATATAACTGACCTCAAAGTTGACAATTCTATAAAATAAATTCTCAAAGTAGAGTGGGCCATAATTCTGACATAGTATGCATCAGAGTTAAAGTTCCAGTATATTCTTGGAAAAGAATTTCATGGAAAGGTGACATGCCAGACATCAATCTTTACCAACAGTTAAACAAGCAAACCATAATTTGCCATCCAGTATTTCTTTTAAATGAATGCATGTGTATGTTTATTTTCAGGCAATTTGAAGGGAAACCATAAAACTTATAATAACTTGAACATTCTGCATGCTATCAATAAAGTACTTGTGTTTGCTAAACACAGTGTTACTTTACTACATACTCAATTCAACATTTTAAAGTACTTTATGATAACATTGGACAATTACAAATTTAAAGCTGAATAAGTTAATTTTCACTATTTTAGTAAGGTAATAAAGATAGTGTACCATATTTACCTTAGTAAATGTTCTGAAACCATCTAAGATAGGTCTATAACCGGTACATCTACACAAGTTACCTACAAATACAAAATATAAAACTTGAAATATGTTTTTATCATAAGTAGCAAGAAATGTAAAAGACATAAGAATAAATATACATGCATAAAATTATCTGATATACATATTAAAGATATGATGCCTGCAGATAAAGACCAGCTTAACAAATCTTAAACAACAATATATGATTATCAACCTTTAAATACGTACAAAATCTGATATCTGTATCTGACTAGTATAAAGTCAAACAAACCTGCATGTTGGTGCAAGCTGGCCAGAATTCCAGAATTAATACATTTGGCTGATCAATTTTAGCATTTTGTTTTAAAACTTCCTTAAACTTCCAAATCCACAGCAGGATAAGTGCATTGGGTCAAAAAGAAAAGGACAACCAACAAAAGAATAGAACTGCTTCTTCAAAAAAATAGAGAAAAACAGAATACCTAAAGTTGGCCCAAAACAACAAAATTGAAAATGTTGCAGGAGTCTGTTTATGGATGGTAATGGTAATACAGAAATGTAAGTCTATCTTATTAATGATAATTACTCGTTTGTTACCTTCAAAAGCTTTTTCCATGTGTTGAACGGTAGGTTGAGGATCATTTCGTAGCAGTGTATACATTGACATAATAATTCCTGGTGTACAAAATCCACACTGAGATCCATGTGACTTGGCAAGCCTTTCCTGAAATAAAATATAATAATTGAGCCGCGTCATGACAAAACCAACATAGTGGGTTTGTGACCAGCATGGATCCAGACCAGCCTGCACATCCGCGCAGTCTTATCAGGATCCATGCTGTTCGCTATTAGTTTCTCTACTTGTTATAGGGTTTGTAAGCGAACAGCATGGATCCTGATCAGACTGCACGGATGTGCAGGCTGGTCTGGATCCATGCTGGTCGCAAACCCACTATGTTGGTTTTGTCATGGCGCGGCTCATATCATGAACAATACTAAACTGGACAACATTAAGATTAAATCATCTCAAAGCTATCAGTTTATATAAAGTTATAAAGTATTTTTCAAAAGAAGAATGTCACAGAGACTCAGAATAGGATTTTGTGACACAATGAGGCAAAACAAGCCATGTATTTAACCCTTACTGCACTGAATATCTTAAACTTGACTTATCCATCTTTTAATCTATATTATGCATAAATAACTGTAAACAAATATGTTGATGTTTTTCAGAACCATTTTATGTGGGAGAATAGCTTTTAGAAAGAAGGATCATTATTCAAAGACAGACACTTTTCTATGAACTCACAATTTCACTGGGATATGGATCATAGCTAAGCATGACTCAATTTCTTTTTTTTTATGCTTGGTACAAAAATGCGATTCTTTCAGTTAATTAAAAAAGTTATATGAACATTTAGTTAGAAGAATATATTAATATTTGCATGCATTATTAAGTACATTAAAAAAAATATAACAAAATGAATTTTTTTAAGTTCTAATAATTATATGAATGTACATGTATAAAAATTGGAGAGAGTAAGTTTTCATTACAGTGTTAATTTTTCTGGGTATTTTTTATGTACTATATACGTGTATAATTATTTTTTCATCTAATAAAAGTTTTGGCAGATCACATTTTTAAAAAGCAAGGAAATTTTCCTTTGTTAAAAAAAAAATCCTCCAGAAAAGTAAAAATCACAGACTAATTTTTTTGAGTCTGTTAATGAGAGATAATGGAAAGTGCAAATTCCCCCACCCCATCCTCCTTAGTATCCACACAGGTCATGATGATCTTCACTTATTTCATATACACTTGTGCATGTTGCTAAGAGCTGGCTCAACTACTTGTGCAACTGTGACTATAGTAATGAACTGGCGATTGAATGAAATGTATCATCTGAAAACTAAGATTGTCAACTTTCAGAATGTCAGCCTTCAGAACAAATGTAAAATTCTGCAATCGAACATAGTTAACGTGGCATAATGCGCCATTTCAATACAGTATTTGTCAAAATCAACCTGTGATATATTTAAAGAAAACTAAAAGAAACGTGATGGTTAACATCATTTTAAGCATTTACTTTAACCAAGGGTAAGTAAGAGCATTTATTTATTTACTTGCATGAGGATAGAGATGGCCTAGAGGAAAAGGTCTGGAGTCTATTTTACAAAATTATATCAAGAGTTTGAGACATTCGAAAACCTGACCTAGAAATCATAAAAACAAACTTTCAGACCAATGATAAAAACTTAAGCAACTAGAGAATTAACAAGTGTGACCACTACAGTGTTAACAAGTTTTTTTCATATTTGGGAGGTGTGACCTACTTTTCGACCCCCAGGTGACCCATATTCAACCTTGACCTAGATTTTATCTAAATAATCTTTCAGACCAATTTCCAGGATATTTGGACCAAAACAGTAGTCACTAGAGTGTTAACAAGATTTTTCTATTTTAAGCTCCTGTCACCTAGATTTTCATCAGAGATGACCCATGTTTAAACTCATCCGACAAGCATCCTAACAAATTTTGATGATGATTGAGGCAAAATCGTGACCACTAGAATGTAAATGAACAAATGTGGATGGACAACGGACGAAAGACATTCAACGATCCTAAAAGCTCACCGTGAGCTAGCTCAGGTGAGCTAAAAGTCACTGTATGATCTTAGATTAGCCTTTGTCACCAAGGCCAGTCTGCACATCTGTATGTATCACAAATGACAGGAATAATAATTCTGAATATATTGACATGTTTACAATGCAAGGTACCCATCAATGTAATATAATCAGACATTACAATGCATAAATTAAATAAAAATTCATGCCTAAATTGTTACAATGTACTTGTTTGCCCGAAATTATGTATGACAAGTACCAAAAACTGGCTATATGAAACAGACATCATTTGATCTTAATTTCAGTCTATAAATAACAGGAGGACAAATATAATTTAATAAGAGATTAATACACGGCAGAGTAGGGCCGGAAGGTGATAATTGGCCCGCAAAATAAATAATGGCCCCGAGGGCTGATAACTAGTTTTCGGCCCCGGGCTGCAAACTCATAATAGGTCACGTGACACTCATAATCAGTTGAACTCATAGGCAATTTTGTTACTATATATAGTAACAAGTGTATTAATATCAGCTTTTTATTGAAAGAAATGTATTATAAATATATTAATTGTGCTGCAGAATCATTACATTTAATAAATTAATTTCATTCTTATTGAAAGAAGAAAATAAAAACAAACAAATAGATGGTTAATCTATTTTTATATATTGTGACTCACAGTTCTCTGTAAATGACTTGCCATGTAGGTACTGCTGTTGTTTTTACAAATATTCACTGTTTATATATTTTAATGCTCATGTTTGTATCATGTATGATGCACTGAGAGAAAAGTAAAGAATTTGAATCTATACTTGGTATAATATGATGGTGTTTAAACACAGCACTTTGATATATAATTGAGTGTTGGAAACGCCTGTAATTAGATACTGAAGGGATTCAGTAATTATAAGTATTAATACAATATTGTTTAACCATTCTTTTAAAGCTAGTAGTGTAATATAACAAACACATGTCATCAGATCAGAGTAAATCTATCATTATTATCATTATTACTAATTTATTATTGTTTGCATTAAACCATTGTTGTTCACTCTCCATCTCTACATGGAACTTAATGCTATATAACAAATTCTATATCATTTGTTGAATATAAGCGTGACATCTTACAGTTTACGTATTTATATTGTAGTGATACTGTAATAAGGATGATAAAATAAAATATATCTTATGAAAAATTGAAGCAAATAATCATTAACATCACTTAAAATAAATTGAAACTTTAATATATTTTCATAATTTTGCTAATTTTCGCATTTGTAAAAAGTATCTTTAAGTGAACAATTCTGCAGCATGGAATAAGCAGCATGGAATAAAATTTAAGTGTTTTTAGAGCTGTATCAATTTCTTCCCTTGTTACACCCAACATACCCGAGGCATTCTTGTTTTGAAACAGTTTACACTCTTTCCACTTTCCAGTAATGATGTGTATATGAGTACAAAATATTATACTAGAATAAGAATTAGCATGTTAGAATATCAAACAAAACAAAAGACGAACTAAAGAATATTCCCTTCGTACAATCCTGGCAAGTTCGGTTAAAACAAGACTTTTGATTTTTAAGAAGAAAGTTTTATAACTTTACTATATAATCTATCTAACAGATGCGGGTATTACAGCACATGCACTTGTGCAGACACACAGGTGAATTGCTATATGCCACTGCACTGTAAATGCAGAGGTGAAATAAAAATGCAGCATGTTACACAATGACAAACAGATACCTTTACAAAGACAATGTACACAGAAAGCTTGAAATGCAATATCAATGCTTCATATTTATTCCCATGTCAATTACCTGAACTGGATGAAGACCTTTCTTAATACTGCCTATACCTTCTACAGTTGTTACTGCCAGTCCATGCATGGAACATAGTGGTGCTAGACAGGCATTCACAGAGGAATGACTGAAAATATCATATACCATGTAAATATACTTAAATTATATATCTCACGGGGTAAATCAAGTCATGATGAAACATAACAATGCGGCATAAATCTAACTGCACTGGATGATGAAGACCAAAATTGCCCCTAAATACTTTATTTTATGTCTCCACGGTTTGATGATACGTGATGAATTATAACTCCAAAAGTATCATTAATGTATATGTATGTGAATATGACTTATTATCTTAAAATTTAAAGTATGATATGGTGAGGGTCCCTGGTTTGAGTCTCGGTCTGATAGCACATTTTCCTCACTATGAAATATTATTATCATATATGCACCTGTAATGATATCTGTAGATACAACATAACGAAATGAACTTAATTTTAACTTCTACATCATCTAACATTTTCCTGTTTTCTGGTATCACAAAATACATTCTACTTTCATTATAAAGCAAAAACATTTTCCAGATTATGCACTATCCATATTAATTTCTTTTCTTGTGTTTTTGTTACCTAGCAACCAGTGTTAATGGTAATCTCTCCACTAAATATGACAAAATTAACAAATTTATGTTACATAAAGGATATTATTATTGTCTAAAACATTTCAAGTTTGTAACACAATACAAATCAGTGATTTTCCCTGCATACTATACAGCCTTTTACAAGCTATTTCCCTAAGCCAAATTTAAAGGACTTTTTCCCCTAGCCAAATGGCTGTTACCCCTAGCTAAAAAGATATATTTTTTCCTCAAAAATGCAGTCGTTATTGGTTTAAAAAAAAAGAAAAGTTCTGTTACTTTAGCCTTTAACTTTAAACCCCCCTCCCCCCCAAGAAAGTACATTGTTTCACGTATATATGTGGTAAAGGGTTAATGAACTTCACAGGACAATTCACTATAAAAGAAGAACAAAGAATAAAAAAATATTAAAGTGTTAAAAAAAATAAGAATTATCTATTCTACTTGCTAGAGTTAAGGACCAGTCTGGAGTTTGCTAGTGTTGTGGACCAGTCTGGATTTTGCTAGTGTTGTGGACCAGTCTGGGCTTTTGCTAGTGTGGCAGGCCAGTCTGGGATTTTGCTAGTGTTGCTGACCAGTCTGGGATTTTGCTAGTGTTGTGGACCAGTCTGGGATTTTGCTAGTGTTGCAGACCAGTCTTGGATTTTGCTAGTGTTGTGGACCAGTCTGGTATTTTGCTAGTGCTGCATACCTGTCTGGGATTTTGCTAGTGTTGCAGGCCAGTCTGGTATTTTGCTAGTGTTGCAGATCAGTCTGGGATTTTGATTGTGTTGTGGACCAGTCTGGGATTTTGCTAGTGTTGCGGACCAGTCTGGGATTTTGCTAGTGTTGCAGACCAGTCTGGGATTTTGCTAGTGTTGCGGACCAGTCTGGGATTTTGCTAGTGTTGCAGACCAGTCTGGGATTTTGCTAGTTGTTGTGGACCAGTCTGGTATTTTGCTAGTGTTGCAGACCAGTCTGTGATTTGGCTAGTGTTGCGGGCCATTCTGGTATTTTGCTAGTGTTTCAAGGCCAGTCTGGGATTTTGCTAGAGTGGCAGGCCAGTCTAGGATTTTGCTATTGTTGCGTGCCAGTCTAGGATTTTGCTAGTGTTGTGGACCAGTCTAGTATTTTGCTAGTGTTGTGGACCAGTCTGGCATTTTGCCAATCTCCTACGCAGTGATCTCCCCTTATCAGTACAGAGATCTCTGCCATCACAAACATTGAAATATCAATATTTGGATATTTATATTTTTTAGCTTTTTAATTAATTTTTCATTATTTTATATACTTTTGATAATTTTTTGATAAAATATAACGGACGTAGGTACAAAAAGTTAAAAATAAAACAGAAAGAGAAAAATGACGTTAGATTTTCTATGTAACGGTCGATATTTACATTTGAATTTCGACGTTACGTCATGTGACTTTCATCATCATGTGACGTCTGTGAAGGCAGTGATTACAATTCTGCCAAGGGAGGTAATCAGTGTGAGGAGTTTGGCATTTTGCTAGTGTTGCAGACCAGTCTGTGATTTGGCTAGTGTTGCATGCCATTCTGGTATTTTGCTAGTGTTGCAGACCAGTCCGGGATTTTTCTACTGTTGCTGACCAGTCTGAAATTTTGCTAGTGCTGCAGACCAGTCTGGGATTTTGCTAGTGCTGCGGACTACTCTGGATTTTGCTAGTGTTGTGGACCAATCTGGAATTCTGCTAGTGTTGCAAACCAGTCTGGTATTTTGCTAGTGTTGCGGACCAGTCTGTGATTTTGCTAGTCTTGGGGACCAGTCTGGGATATAGTAAGCTTTCAGTCAAATTCATAGGTTGGATTTTAATTCCCAAAAACAATGCAATGGTCATGTGGTGATTTTTCAGTCATATTAAGATTTGTACTTAACAAGTGATTCTAGATTGTTATACAAAAATTAGTGTGTACCCTTTAAAATGAATTTGTCTATAATGGGCAAATTTTCATTTAATTAAGTATTTCAAATATCCTTCAAGGATTATACAGTCAGTATGAATCAGCATTGAAATTATTCTTAAAATCTCAATGTAATTGGTATATTTAATGATTTAGGATAAATTAATTCCTTATTGAAATTTTTGTGGTAAGAAACAAGTAAATGAATGTGTCTAAAAGAATTTTTGCATGTAAAAAGTTTCCAAGAAAATAACAATAATGATACTAATTTCTTTTAGATAAATTATCTGTCTTATATTATAGTTTCAAGGTAAACATAGGAATATATCACTGATATAAATAACTTAGGCTGACAGAAAGTTGGTAATTTTCTAGACTTATCTTTTGAGAGAAAAGTAACATTTAAAGTACAACATTTATATACACACCATATTTTCTTGTTGGAGTGGTCAAACTTGGATACCATCACAGTACATGCACCACAACCTCCTTCTCCACATCCTAGCTTTGTACCTGTCAAACCCACTATAACAATGTGTCAAGGAAAACGTAAATGCAAAATTAGATTTATTTTGGATGCATTAATTTAAATGTAACACAAGTTTTATGGCAAGTATGGTGATAAATTTAGAGAAAAAATGCACCATTCTGTACAATATTTATACTTGAGAAGGTTAGCAAACAGAGCCTTGGCCAAGGTTGCAGTACACTCAGCTGCCTTGTGATTACATACCAAAATACAGACTTGTATACAAGATCAGTGAGGAACCCCCCACAACATAAAGTAACAAGTAAAGACTCCTATTATACCTATTATGTGAAATAACTTCTACTCCATTTCAACATGTGTTACATTTATTTTTATTATTATTATATTAATACATATATACATACAAGTCATTGTATGTATAATGAACATAAAATATATTTCAAGAAACAACATGTGTTCCAAAATATTGTAAACTTGACCATTGTCATCATACTAAAGATTACACCAATAAATGAAGCTATCACAGTATACCAAGAAAATTGTTGTTTCCGTGTATGAAAACATGGCTCTTAGGATGAAAAAAGGTTTACAGCCAACTCCAGACTTTTAAACCATATTCTCCCACATCAATCAATGAGTGACCACAGATATATCATATACATGTATTATGGGAAACATACATTAATTTCTAAAGTACAAATGTTAAGTAAAATATTCAATTTGCATAATAACATCTTATACTCAAGTTACATGAAAATTTCAAGTTATTTCCTGACAAAACCATCTGGTATGACATTTGTGTATTATACTCATGAAATTATGAAGCATGAATCTTTATAACAATGTTATTTTGAGACATAGCTTTCCATATTTGTACTAATCATCATACTAAGGGTTGAAAAATTTGAATGCTTGCAAAATTTTCCAAATAAAATATGTTTAAACTAATATGGCAATAATCCCGGTTTTGCATGAAATAAAATATAACATCAAGGTTTTGATATTAATTTTTTTTATGGTGGTGTGAGTGTGTGTGAGGGGGGTGGGGGGAGGCAAGAATGAGTAATATTCCTAACATTCTCTGGAATATGCAGTAACCCTTGTCAACATTTTCCTGGATCCGCGCCAGCATTATCACAGTATCATAATATTAATATGTAAGTTCAAAAATATCTCTTTCTATAAATAGAAATAATAATGTAAAGAATGAAGACTGTATATTTAGCAAATTTCATATAATTATGTCATCCTAAGCTGTATAATAATGTATGTTCTGTTTTTGCATGTAGGTCATTTAAGACAAAAAGAAATGCTAGATTTTTTTAAATAAAAACGAAAGTGCTCATTTGTAACAAATGCGTTTCACCAATGCCCAAACCATTGAAAGAGAAAATTTACATTAAAATTCATGATGACTAAACATCAATGCTTTCATTTTATTTTCTTATCTGACCTTGAACCTCTGCATGTGATCTTGAGACCTGAATTTTGCCCACATTATAACACTACATTTTACAATGTTACACATTTGTGCAAAAAACATGTTAAAGTTTTGCTTTGCAATAGAATTTTCCTCTGACCTCTAAGTGTGACCTTGATCTTTGACCTATAGAGACTTTGATCAATATGTTTCATGGTCAGAACAAATTATATCAAGTGAAACAATGAAAAATTCCATCCATGCAAGTAGACGATAAGCTCTGTCAAAATCTGAACATTTCATCATCTCTGGTGACCTTGATCTTGCATATATTGACCTAAATTATGTTGAAAAGAAGTTTTATTCCAGACAAGCATTTTTCTTAAACCTCTCATGTGACCTTGACCTATGACCTAGAAACCTGGTTCATATGATTTAAAAAAGGTCTTATGGTGCTCAATGAAGTCTGGAGTTGCCCACGTTTAAGTTACAGAACATTGTAGGTGGTATTAAGTGACTATGAACTTATAATGAAAAATAAAAGTCATCTCTTCTACAAGGACATTTCACTCAATTATTTGGCTAATATGTTTTATCATTAAAGGACACAGTGACCTTAACCTTTTATCATTACAATGCTCTTCTACAAAAAAGGTAGATATCCTATGAAGTCTGAATTAGGCTGTTCGTCAGACAGTATATTAAATGAAAGAGAAACAGAGCAGAAGCAGTATTTTTATAAATAAAATAAATAAATCAAAATCTTTTCATTAATGAAACTGATATCAAGTCTTAAATCTTTGTAAAAGATATGGCAAATTAAACTTAACTCACAATGAACTAACGCAAGTCATAAACTATTTACATGTATGCTATACCAGACAATCATGTCATATGATAAAAATGAACACCATGAAATCTAAGTACATATTTTATGATTGAAGAACCAGATCAGGTTATTGTGTGTTTGTTAATGTGTTTTATGCGAATAACAATATATCAAATTTATGACAAGAAATATGGAGGTATGTAAAAGTTTCGAAATTGACTGTCATACTACTACAATATACTGTAATCTGTGGCGTAGCTGCCTATATGTCGTATAAACCATGGTCCATAGTTTTTTACAGGAATATGAAAAAGATAAAAATCATTTACTTGTTGATCTGCATTCATTATTAAATTATTCCTTAAAAATTTATCTTGTACTAAATATATGTTAAAATACTTTTCCAACACTCCATGCAGAGCAAAAAATATTATACCACTAGAACCCCCAAAAATTTGGCCTACACATAACTTTGAACCAAGCCTTGCCCTTGTTAATACCCACAGTATATAAAATCAAAGATAAATGTTACAAGTATATTATTAATATAATTATTATAGAAACTTGTTTAGAAAAGTAAATTTTATTTTTCTATGAGCATAAACTTGAGGACATAACCGCACAAAACCACTTCAATTTTCACCTACGTAATGTTAGGGCCCAGTTACACAGACGGTCGGTACCCAATCAGTCATTTAATTTTAAATTTACTCGCTGTTATGATCGGTTGTCATGCGTGATTTTATTTCTGGTTTTCTGTGTAAACGGCCATCGGTGACAAAAAGCAAATTCAAACATGTGGGGTCGATGATTAAATGCTGAAATACTTTTGGTTTTTATCGTTTGTAAATCGGAGCTAAATCGGGCGTAACGCTGATTAATCGGTGTTTGATAGCTAGTCATCAGTGGTTAAACACTTTCCGTCAGATATGGCCGGTGATTCATATTTGGTTATCTTTGTCCGATCGGCGATATCGGTGATTAAGAGCTTGCACATCTCGTGGTAAAGGTTGCCGTCGGTTATTTTTAAAATATTTTCACTGATCGAGAATTTTAAACGTGTTTGAAAATCCCAATCGGTAATTTTTAACCGATGAAACTTATCTTTCCCCAATATCAGTTGATAGGTGGAAAACAGGTGACCAATAGGTGATATCGGTGATAAATACGTTGTCATCGGTTCACTCCATAATTTGACTAAAAAAACTACCGATCAATCACCGATGGCTCTGTGTAACTGGGGTGTTACTTCTTCAGAAAAAGGTATCTTTGATAGACATACAGTCCATGTAAAGACAGAAGTTGTTGGTTTAACCTAACAATTAATTACTGTGAAGCAGAATATAAAACAAATAAAATAAAAAAAAAATTATTGGTGTAATTAAAAATTATGAATATAAACTACAAGTTTGTAAATCTACAAGTTAAGGATACAATTCTGTCTGAGATATTGCAGTAAAGTTGTTTCAGGCTCAGCATTCTTCTCCACAATCTGCCAAAAAAAATAAAGTCAACATTATAAGTTATGATCCACAACAAGTTTCATAAAACTTAAATCAACTGTAAATAAAGTAGTTCACTCTATAGCATAATTTTGTTCCTGCAACATAATTTGACTGTGACACAGTATTAGCTCATATAACATTGAATAACCATGACAAGGCATGTCCATACAACATTAATTGACTATGACACAGTATTATTTCATATAACATTGAATAACCATGACATAGCATGTCCATACAACATAAATTGACTATGACACAGTATTATTTCATATAACATTGAAAACCATGACATAGCATGTACATGCAACATAAATTTGACTGTGACACAGTATTATTTCATATAACATTGAATAACCATGACATAGCATGTACATGCAACATAAATTGACTGTGACACAGTTTTATTTCATATAACATTGAATAACCATGACAATATTAGCATATTCATTCAACATAAATTGACTGTGACACAGTATTTTTTCATATAACATTGAATAACAATGACATAGCATGTCCATACAACATTAATTGACTATGACACAGTATTATTTCATATAACATTGAATAACCATGACATAGCATGTCCATACAACATAAATTTGACTGTGACACAGTATTAGCTCATATAACATTGAATGACCATGACATAGCATGTACATGCAACATAAATTGACTGTCACACAGTTTTATTTCATATAACATTGAATGACCATGACATAGCATGTACATGCAACATAAATTGACTGTCACACAGTTTTATTTCATATAACATTGAATGACCATGACATAGCATGTACATGCAACATAAATTGACTGTCACACAGTTTTATTTCATATAACATTGAATGACCATGACATAGCATGTTCATACAACATTAATTGACTATGACACAGTATTATTTCATATAATATAACATAAATATTGTAAAATGCTTAATATCTTATATGTTAATTCTTTTTATTTCCCTTCTCTGAAGACAAATAAAGTTAAATCATAATGGTTGGGCAATCAAATCTGCTCTGTCTAACAAGTATATCAGTGTCAACAAACTGCAAGTCTTGCCATGCATATTAATTCATGACTACTGATGATAATTTATATTCAGGTAGGATATATTATAGAAATACAAGAATATGAGTACTAATTTATGTCTACATTAGTTATAATGCATATACTCTTCTCTTATTTAATTTCAAACGCTTTAAATTTAACCTACTTAATTCTAAATTACAGCAAGATTATGTCTGTTAAATACAGGTTAAAACAAACATTGGATTATAAGCTTGAATAATCTTAGTATTGCTAAAGAAATCACCAAAAATATATTTATATGTACCCTATATCTACTTTTTTGATATGGTTATTAAAGTTTGTTCCTGGGGAAAAAAACTGTTTGTAATGTTATAAGTATATAATATGAAAACAGTTTTATATTATCATGTTATTTTTAACTAACTACACGTATATTTTACCTGGGCAAAATTAATAAAGCATTGGCCTGTCCGATATATGGCCTTTTTTTGACCTATATTATGTATACAGCCAGGTAAATATTAACTTTCAATGACAAAAGTATCAACCTTTATAGAAGTAGTAAATGCCCTAATCTTAAATTATGCAGGTTCATACAGGCATATGAAAAGAACCTAAAAAATAACTCCACTCCATGTCTGAAACAGGGTGTTTTATTTACAGAGGCAAAGAGAAATTGAAAAAAGAGTAAAAGAATGTGCATGACTGTGGCAGTTGTAAAGTACTCAGTAAAAAAAGGTGTAAGTAGATATAAACTTGACAGGCACATTCCTTGGTATAATTAACTGCTAATAAATGGAAAATAGAAGAAAGTAGATGCTGCAATCTGCGGTGTATTAATTATAAACACAATACAATGTCATAGTAATATATTCAGGTCATAGCAAAAACATTGACTTGTAAAAAAAACAAAATGCACATTACACTGCTCCTATAATGAACACATAATGTGAACCATTAAAGTTTTGTTATTTTGTTAATGTGGGATAATGTTTTCCATTGACAATTTTATGCAGGGTTATAACCTTTAAGAGACAAGCATGACCTAGTTTTACCACCTATAAAATATTTCTTTATCTCCGATATCATGTTTGCAGATATCTGGTCAGTTATTTACCTGACTATTTGCATAATCAATCATTATTGAATATTTACCAGTTCAGTCTTAGCTCAGTACAAGTCTGGTTACTTTCTCTAAATCTAATGCCTGTTATTTAATAGAGTTAATATTGAAGTCAGAACAAATAAGTGTATGCTTTAAATTTTTAATGTCTGTCTATTTCAAAGTGCATTTGTATTAATCTACAGTATATACAGAGGTATCTCTAAACAATTCCTTATTTGAATGATGTATTAATGCTTTTTCAGTTCTCACAGGTTTTAAATCTATTACTATTTTGTTTGTAGTCAACTTATGTAAACAATGTTTATATATAGAAGGGATTTATTATATTACATAATTTATGTCTGGCATCTAGAACAACAGATTTAAAAGACATTTTGTTTAACTTTAATGTTTCAAAGAGCTTGTAATTCAAAACATATAATTTAAATAGAATATATTTGACGAAGTATTTGACGAAGTTCCAAACAAATTCAAACAAATTTGATACAATTTTCATGCTAATAACTTTTTTGTGTGTGTTGTTTTTTTATCAATATATATTATTTAATCTGTAATATTCAGATTTACTTCATTATGATACTTCAGTCTCTAGTACATAAAATGTAACGTGTAATATAATATACATGTATATAATTATCTATTGACAGTCACATGAATGTTTTCCTTGAATATTTCATATAAATCTAGACCAGTAAATCTGATTGACATGCTAAGATGCTTGCTTCATTTAAAATAAAATTGGATTTATATAAGAAATATAACAAGTGCAAAACACATTTTAGTGCACGTGCCAATTTCAATAGAGGATAAAGGAGTCAAATACTACGCACCTTCTTTCCATTCACATAAAATACAAGTTCACTTTTCTTCTCCTCTGACATTATTGTGTTTTGTAAATATACAACAATTATTTACGTTATTTTCCTAATCCATGCTCTTTCTAGCTTTGCACAATAAATGAGGTATGACACTCCGTGCAATGCTATAAAGTAGATAACTTCAGCAAAGTGTGACAACAAGTAAAATTAAACCTTGGGACTGTTTGTCCAACTGATAACAACTTCTTTATAGAGGCGATATTTTTGAGATAGTATGGTAATAAAAGTAGGTCAATGCCGGTGACAGATTTTCCCTATTCTAAAAATAAGCTTAATCGCATTGGTCAATCCCCCTACAAATTTTTCTACCTTCGTTTGAAGAGTTTATGTCAAAAACGTTTCTATTGGACAAATTAATTCGGTCGTCCAATGAAAATCATTGTTTTATAAATGTAGTTTTACAACACGGCAAAGATTTTTTTTTAACAAAAATAATAATCTTTCATTTTAGATGGCAAATTATGGCTCTGTTCCAGACCTTATAAGCAGTAGTGTTTCAGTAGATATTGGAAAAGGTAATCTAACACGTATTTCATTTCAAAATTAATCAGTTTGCGTTTTACATTTAACCAAAGTGTAAACATTTCGGATAACCATGTTTTTGGACAAACATGGTGTAATATCGTGATTTATAAGTTTATGTACCCTCGTCCCCCCCCCCCCACTCCCTAGCAAAAAAAAATAATAAAGGTTAATGAAAATAAATGAATAAAGTAAAAATATGTTATAAATAATATGTAATTAGGCAAAGCCAATGAACGGGGAAGTCAGTTTAATAAAATAACAGTTCATTTTACATTTTCCCCTTTAGAAGTGTTATTGGTATTTCATGCTCTGCTTCCATTGGCAATCTCCTGGATTAGACCCCTACGTATTTTTCAGGTCTAAAACTTGTATATAATACACTTACTAGGAACACTTGAAGAATTATTAATGAGCTGAAAAGTTGTGATTGTTCCGTTATCATTTAGTTTCATTTGCCCAACAACACATAAGTCATTAATAATATGAAATTAGGTGCTACCTATAGCGCGGAAAGCTCTTATGATTCATGATTTAAGCATAACATGTTTAGTGTACATGTTAACCAGATCTATCATGCAATTTGTTAGCTGCGAACAGGTTTTATAGTACTGCTAGACCTGTTTACTGTCACACAACGTCAAAATAAAAGCGACATATAAAGTTATGGAAGCCAGAACTAGCAATTCGTTAATAAGTAAATGCAGGTATTTTGTAACGAATAAATTGGTGGTGTTCAACCTATCATCGGAAGAGGGACCACTGCGCATGCGTCAACGTTTGGAAAATCCCGTCCACCATTTTCTGTTAATCTCTAATTACATATGTTGTTTTTACATTATTTTTAATGTGCTAATTTAATCAAAAAAATTTAAAAGTAACTTTTTACATTTATCATCGTGACTATAGTTCTTATGAATGAAATGAATGTTTATTTTCTGATTTTGTACATTATTCTTTCACCGGAAGCGCTATTAAGCATGCGTCTGCTAGCAATAGTCTGAATTATGTAGACGCTCATTTAAAGCGCTGTGATATCTATATTTAGCTCAAAAGGATTTCAAAATGGAGGCGCCCAATTAACTAAGGATTTTTTCACAGCTATTAGGTATACTAGGATATAAATTTTTTGAAATTTTCATTTACTTTTAATTTGATTTCATTTGAATTGATGCGCGTCGTACATGTTATCTAAGAGAGCTACAGCCCTCCCCGGGCCTTTGGCCCCTCTCGGACTTTCCTCGTATAACCAGTCTGCGTATAACACTGAAAATTTTGCTGATAGGCATAGAAATCTATATATTTTTAGCTCAACTATTTGTTAAGAATATGTATAGCTATCCTAGTCACCTGAGCGTCGGGTCGGCAGCCACTTACAGTGACTTATTTTAAAGTTTGCATACCACCTCAAATATCAAGCAGTTTTTTTTTTCACCAAAATATTCGGCAAAATTCGGCCCTATTCTCCCCTCAAAATAGTATGTTTTTTCCGCCCCTCAAAGCCTAAAATTCCCCCTACATGGCAGGCCGAATTTGCCTGCAGTAGATATCATTTTTTTTTGCAACTAACTGCCGAAAAATGTTTTATTTAATGCCTGTAAGAGTTACTGTTAAGCAAGGTTGTTTACAAATCGTTCTCTGGTAGGTAAATGGAGCTAGTCCCGGCGTCCCAACAAGTTTATCATGCGGCGCAATGCAACGCGATATTTGAGATCCTTATGTTAAGAAAAAGAGACATATTTTGAACTTGTGTTGCAAGAGTTGCTCCCCTTTTCCACCGCAAAGAAAACAATATAAAATAAGTAAACAAATAAAATTCCCCCTCCTATTACATTTTTCCCCCTCCAAAGGGCACCGAACCCCTTCCCCAAAAGTGAAAAAAAACACTGTCAAGGCTCTTTTACTATCAAGCACTAAGAATAGTCGAGCATGCTGTCCTACTGACAGCTCTTGTTTAAATTGGTTTCCTTTTAAACATACATGTGTAGCTGGGCAAGCCAATTTCCGGGCTTGCTTCTAAAACTTTGACTGTCTTGTATTAATTAATGTGTTGAAAGTCATGATGATAATATATGAATTTTGTCATAAAAATGCCCTGATGATCATGTCTGGTCTACAATTCCATTCTAAAACTACAGAAATGTGTTAGACATGGTGATAACATGTTGTAAGTGTCAGATCTTCTGCTCAAAGGTCAAGGTTACACTTATGAAAAAATTAACAAAGTAAAACACACGTTAGTTAGTAGTATTATATAAATTACCAAAATTTATCAGGTTTTAGTAACCTTTTATAAGATAAATTTACATTTACAGAAATTATTGTGTAAAAGATACACTTTAACAATTCATAATTGCCTCTTATGCATTTTTTTGAAAACACCTATATGGCATAAATATAAGTATATATGATAGAATTGCTGTACATGAACTTTGGGCAAGTAGTATATGTATGTACCGATGTGGTAAGCCTCTTCCTAAGTTCCTTTATGTTATCAGTCATTATAGAATAATTCCTGTTTCAGGTTATGTCTCAAAAGATGGCACAAAACAGACATCTACATCGGTGAGTTTATATTTATAATTATTTCATATATACAGTGAAATGCGACTTGCAGCCACATCAAAATTAATTAAGAAGACACCATTATTCTGGGCTGTTTTGGGTTTTTTTTAAAGAAACAAAAAACAATTTTCTTCATAAATAATTTAGAAAAATGACTTCTTTTAAGTCCACAACCATAATCTTTGTGACTTTATTGGTAAGACCATTCTATTAATATTTAAGTGAATTAAGACCACATTTACCTGGGATTCAATCAACAATATACCAGGAGTGAACAGTTCCTTTTTTTACAACATACATGTAGTTAATTATAACAAATAAACTTCATGGACAGATAACAGTTTACCAAAACACCTGTGCTGTGCAAAATTTAATATGCCCATCATGTAACAACGGCATAGTTTTAAATTAAGCATACACGGTTATGCATTGATTGATTAAAAATATTGAAGATAATTTTATTTCACTTCTATTAATGACAGCTCTAAGCATGGTATAATTATGGTAGACTGATTACATTCTACATTATATCTGAGACAGTATGTCTTTGTCCCAGCAACAGGTTGAATATCATTAGGAGATAAATGTTAGTTATTAGTTTCTCACATTGAATATTAACCTTAGAAAGGGATAAATGTCTAAGAGGTCAAGGTTAAATAAGTGTTTCCAATTTTAACTTTTAGTCAGATTCTTAGCCCTTAAGTTAACCTGTTGCATTTGTATATTAGATTTGACTAGCTTTAAATTTGGAGAATCCATTATAATTTAAAAGGATTAGAATATCAAAATACAATATAATTGTGCTAGCAGCAGCCTGGATCCAGGTGAGATTACTCAGATATGTAGACTGGCCTCTAGCCTTGCTCTATACTGGTGGCACAGGTTAATTAAGTTTGGTTTCAGCAGTCTAGGGGTTAGAACTTAGACATGTATATGTCAATTATTTGATATGGTGCAACTTATCTTATTTTTGTGTTGAATTACATTATTTTTGTTTACATTTCAGGACACAATTTATCCATTTGTCAGTCCCCAGAAATCATTCATCCGGTCATTTACTGCAGCCTTTCATTCTATACTACGCCTAAAAGAGGTAAAATCGAATGTCACGCTTTACTTTTGTTGATTTTTTTTTTACATTATAGCTAAAGTAGTTTTCGACATGATTGAATTATGGGTTTTGATTCAAGATTTTTTTTTCTGGGAAATTGATTATGAGAAAACAAAAAAAATTCTGCTTGAGAGAAGATATAAATAGTATTGTTGTTTTTATTTAACCCTTTTGGGAAAGAGTAAGATGTGTCCACCAAAGAAAAATTTAGAATAAACAAATCTGTTTTTAATCGTCTTGATTTGTGAAAAGATCAAGTTGCAGTAACAGCCAAGTTTTTGAATTTCAACACAAATAAGTAAAATAGGATATAGAAATTGTAAGTGATTGGGTGATCTTTCTTTAGAAGAGAGAAGATAAACATATTTAATGATCATGATTATTTCAGACAAAGAAGATTCTGGTTTTCTTAGCCCTTAATGTGGTTGGCACGGCAACTTTGTTGATATGGTGTCATGACACCAACAGCATGGGTAATTGTTTATATTTTTATCACATACCTTTGTAGCTATTACGACTACCTAAAAATGGTACGGGACAGCTGTATATGTGTTTTCATGTGACATAATTTGTGTTACATAAACATAGCATAAAAATGCACTTAGTTTTAGCATTACACTATTAAATGTCAACGAAAAAATGATTATTCTATCGACAAAAAATTGTTTTTTTTAATGTACTATGTAATATAAAGAATATTGTACTCTTGTTGTTCATTATTTAAGTTATTGAACTTGTTAAATAAATTATATGCTTGTAATATTCAGTATTTAACCATAACTCATTCAATAGTGTGTATATGTAAAATTAACTCCCTTTTGCAGCTCACAAGACAATATGAAATTAATATACATTATATATAAGAAGAATATACTGCAGGAAATATTTATACTGTACAACAGATATAGAGCCTTTTGTAAGGCAAAGACTTAAGACTATCTGATGTCATTAAATTTCAAAAAAGGGCAGCAAGAATACTCCTTGACAAAAACTTTGATACACCATCAAGTGAATTATTCAAAGAATTAAACTGGATGTCTTTTGACCAAAGAATCATATACAAAAAGTCAATTCTTATGTATAAATCAATTAATGAACCTGACTTTCCAACATATATGAAAAATAAATTCCAGACAGTAAACGAAAGGCACAACTTAAACCTCAGATCAGCACAAAATGCAAAGCTAATTATACCAAAACCTAAAACAGAATTCTTCAGAAAATCATTTGCATACTCTGGACCAAAAATATGGAATAACATACCAGTACATATAAGAAATTCCGATACTCTTCGGAAATTTCAATCAGCTTATATCAAATGGCAGTTTTCACCTTAAACTAGCTGTTGATTTATTCCTGTTGTATAAATTACTTATATGTACTTTTATTATTACTATATTACTATTGTTATCGTTTCTTTTACTTTTGCCCCATATTTTCCCAATAGGAAAATTTATGATTCAATGATGCCAAATGATGATTTCCTACTCCAATTGAACTTAAATTTATGTATATATATAGATATATTTTAGTTATATTTTAAAATAACTCATGAGCCAATATGTATTAGATAATAATATCACTTAAATTATCATCTGAATTTCCATGGTGTATTTTTAATTATAAATATTGTTTTAAATGTGTACTAAATATTGTTTTAAACAGGTACTATGTTAGTTTTACCTATCTGTACATATTGCTCTTTTTCTCTGTATTATTGTACAATCATTTCATTTTTTGCTTTATCAATCATTACTTCAATTTAATTGATCTGTTTTAATAATATTAAATTTTGTGTATATATGTTGTGTATATGTTGTGTACATGTAAACTGATTGTAATAATGTTATGCTGAGGCCCACATGGAAGATCGGGAAACTGAATGTGTAAGCCTCGTTAAATAAAGTCGTTACTTACTTACTTACTTACTTACTTTAGTAGTTGCTGAAGAAATACTCTAGAAAGTTAAATTTATTCAACAGGGCCCCGATGTTACAATATTTCAGGTTGAAATCCTCTCTCATACATTGATAACAAGTTTTGTCATATCTGGAAAGAAAAAAATCCCTCTCCCAAGCCCAAAAAAAAAATAAAAATTAAAAAAAAAATCGATAGAATTTTGCTGTCTCCAAGATCTATTAAACATAACATAAAGTTTTTGCATATACACAAAGTTGCTTAATAATTATTTCAGTTAGTTTGTTAACCCTACAAGCTACAAATTAAACTGCTACATGGATACATGTTTTGTGTTTTACTTTTTAGCTTTGACAGCCTATACCTACCTGACTTTATTTGACATCTTTAGGTAAGTATGTTTTACATACCATTTACTAGTATTCTTTATTGGTTTGTAAAATGTGGTTGTTCAGTACATGTTATTCACAACACAGCTTGAGTGCATCTGGTTATAGTACTTGGATTTCCAAACATGTGATCATTTCAAAATAAGGCAACTTTCCACCAACATATTTACTTATTTGTCAGGCAAATCAGAGCCATATGGATATTGATATATGGAGAGAGAACAGTATATTTCTGTTTTCTAATGATGAATGTAATTAACATTAGTGACATGTGTTGCAATAAAATACTGTTGAATAAAATATTTTGATAAATAATGGTTATAGCAAAGTAAATGTGATTTTCTGCAAAAACATCTTTTCAACTTGAGAACATTTCAATTTTATTTTTTTTGGACAGCTATAGTCACACTTCAGCTTAAACCTTTTATAAATTGTATATGCTAAATACCACTAAAACGACTAGTATGTAATTTGACTGTTTACTGCTGCATGTACTCACTGACATATCAGCATGCAAATGTGTTTATACTGTACTCCAGCTCTAATGTTTTACTGGTTACCATTGACTGTCATACTGACATGGCTGAAAACAATTGCTTTACTGGTTATCAGGACTTCAAGTGCCTTAAACTTTTATAATGATTTGATTAAAAGCAATTTATGAACATGTCTTATGCCATTCCATGTAAGTTTACCTCTGTTTATTCTATTGAATCATAGTATGTGAAGAAGTTGTTATTAGCTTGCAGAGAAAATGTTAAAATAGATAAAAAAAATCCCAAGTGAAAGCCCAACACAGAGCAAAACTAAAAATGTTGCAGACTCAATTTGAGTGAGCCTGTTCATGGATGGTAGTGGTATTTGCTTTGATTGAGGAACAAAAACTAGTAGATGTAATTTCAAACATAAAGATAATAAATATCTCTACAAGAAATTGGTGACAATAAAGATATTGTCACTTGTATCTTAAACAACTAATGCATGTTGATTTCAGACATTTTATCACATTGCCTCATCCAGTTAAATATGTTTAATTTTTTCCATGTTCCATGGTTCTGATTTCAGTTTGTTGACATGTCTACTGAGTATTTGGATTAGACTACAAAAACCATCACCGGCATATTCGTTCGGGTAAGATTGGTCATGTAATTAAATTATTTTTTAAATTGTCAAGACTACAAACTTTTAGCTAGCCATCACACAGGCACACTTTTTTGTATGTTTCCAGTGTGATAGTTTGTGCTCTCTCTACATGACATTTATAAAGGGCATCCTCGTGGCAACTTGAGTTGTTCCCAACTAGATCATGCAGCGTCAATGGTGTTTCCATTGTGTCCCAGGTTGCCTTGGGAATGCTTTAAGGTTGCAATTCTTGTTTCATAGACAGGGTTATAACAGAACTACAAATTACATAACTTCTGCATTAAACACTAGTCTTGCCTTGGTTACTCAGAAAATGTTCATCGACAATGTTTTTTTTTTTTTAAGTTTGTAAACATACCTGTAGATTATGTTTGTAATTACTATAAGTTATGTAACTTTTATTTCATTTACAGGTATGAGAGATTTGAGGTTTTAGCAACATTTGCTAGTACAATGTTAGCACAATTAGGTGCTTTATTTATCATCAAAGAAAGGTAATTATATCTGTTTTAATTAGTCAATTAAATCTTATAGTGATTGTAATAATTTTGACTAATCATATGATGTCAGGATACATCCAGTCAGCCGCTTCTTCAATGCAGATAACCAGAATCTGTACAATATATTTTTAGCTGCTTAAGTTTTTCTTTTCATGCCCCCATCTCTACCAGGCTGTGGGGGATGGGAGGGGCATTTAAATTTGCCCTTGTCTGTCCATGTGTTCTCCTGTTGTGTTGCATGTAGCTCTAAAAGTGCTTGAGCTAGAGTCAACAAACTTTACAGTTATGTTGATCAGCATTTGAAGTTGTGCACCTGGGCTTTTGCATGTTGATTAATTCAGTTTTGTCAGAGTAATAATATCTGTCATATTTTGCAGTTCGGATCGGAATATCCGTCCCGAGGTGACCCGCCCATTGGGCGGTAACGAGGCTTGCCGAGTTACCGCCCATGGGCGGGTGACCGAGGGACGGATATTCCGATCCGAACCGCAAACATATGTCAGATATTTTTTCTTGCATATTCTACCATATTCCATTATATTTTAAATTCTTTATCTTTATTTCAATGAAAAATTTATATCATTACAACCGTAACTACTTTCATTCAACAGCGTATGAATTACAAAATCATTCATAACGGTAAAATGACGTCATCGTTATCGTGCCATTGTACAGCACGCGACTCATCTGGAACCCCCCATGCCAGATGACATTTCCGGCATGGGTAAAACTAACGGAAACGCCAGTCTGATATGCAAGAATTATTGCCCCTGACTTAGTAAAAATTGACAGTTTCCAATTTGTGTTGCAAAACGCTGAAAAAAAATTAACCTTGAGTCATGAAAGTTTAACGAATGTTGGTCAGCATGTGTAGTTGTGCACCAGGGGGTTTGCTTGTCGATTTATCAGTATTTGTAGAGTTTTTGCCCTTGACTTAGTAAAAAATGCAATTTTTGATTTGTGTCCCGCATAGCTGAAAAAGTAATTGACCTGGAATCATGAAACTTTACAGACATGTTGGTCAGCATGTTAAAGTGTGCATCTGGGAGTTGTTTGTGTATTTATTCATTAATTTGTACAGTTATTGCCCTCTACAGGAATAATGTGTATTTCTATTTTATTGTTTATATGTTATCATATAGGAATTATATATATTTCATATTATTTACAGCATAGAGAGACTTATACAGCAACCAGAGATACACACGTAAGTTAAAAAAAAACACAAAAAAAACGTTTTGTCATTTGTTATTTTATAAACGTCAATTTTTTCTGAAGAAGACTAAACGTCGAAAGCTTAAGAAAAGCGTTTGTTATACCCCCAAAAACGAAGTTTGGGGGGGTATATAGGAGTCACCCGGTGGTCGGTTGGTCGGTCGGTCGGGCGGTCGGTCGGTCGGTCCAGACGTCCGTTGCATTTTCCTTGTCCGGACCATAACTTGAAGACTAATGGTTGGAATTCAATATAACAACATACAATGGTCTAGCACATTGAGAGGAAGTGCAGTGCACAAGAACCATAACTCTATCTTGACTAATTACAGAGTTATTGCCCTTTGTTACTTTTCCTTGTCCGGGGCATAACTTGAAAACTACTGGTTGGAATTCAAAACAATTTCATACAATTGTCAAACACAATAAGGGGAAGTGCAGTGCACAAGAACAATAACTCTATCTAAAGTAATTACAGAGTTATTGCCCTTTGTTACTTTTCCATTGCTTTCTTTTGTCCGGACCATAACTTGAAGACTAATAGTTGGAATTCAATATAACTACATACAATGGTCAAGCACATTGAGAGGAAGTGCAGTGCACAAGAACCATAACTCTATCTTGACTAATTACAGAGTTATTGCCCTTTGTTACTTTTCCTTGTCCGGGGCATAACTTGAACACTACAGGTTGGAATTCAAAACAACTTCATACAATTGTCAAACACAATAAGGGGAAGTGCAGTGCACAAGAACCATAACTCTATCTAAAGTAATTACAGAGTTATTGCCCTTTGTTACTTTTCCATTGCTTTCTTTTGTCCGGACCATAACTTGAAGACTAATGGTTGGAATTCAATATAACTACATACAATGGTCTAGCACATTGAGAGGAAGTGCAGTGCACAAGAACCATAACTCTGTCTTGACTAATTACAGAGTTATTGCCCTTTGTTACTTTTCCTTGTCCGGGGCATAACTTGAAAATTACTGGTTGGAATTCAAAAACAACTTCATACAATTGTCAAACACAGTAAGGGGAAGTGCAGTGCATAAGAACCATAACTCTATCTAAAGTAATTACAGAGTTATTGCCCTTTGTTACTTTTCCATTGCTTTCTTTTGTCCGGAGTATAACTTGAAGACTAATTGTTGGAATTCATTATAACTTCATACAATGGTCAAGCACATTGAGAGGAAGTGCAGTGCACAAGAACCATAACTCCATCTTGACTAATTACAGAGTTACTCCCCTTTGTTACTTTTCCATTGCTTTTTTTGTCCGGAGTATAACTTGAAGACTAATGGTTGGAATTCAATATAACTTCATACAATGGTCAAGCACATTGAGAGAAAGTGCAGTGCACAAGAACCATAACTCCATCTTGACAAATTACAGAGTTATTGCCCTTTGTTACTTTTCCTTGTCCAGAGCATAACTTGAAAACTACTGTTTGGAATTCAATACAACTTCATACAGTTGTCAAGGACATTAAAAGGAAGTGCAGTGCATAAGAGCCATAACTCCATTTTGACAAAATACAGAGTTACTGCCCTTTGATACTTTTCCTTGTCTGGAGCATAACTTAAAACGTATTGGTTGAAATTCAAAACAACTTCATACAATGGTCAAGCACAAAAAGAGGGAGGAAGTGCAGTGCACAAGAACTATAACTCCATCTTCAGTATTTATAGTTATTGCCCTTTGTTCCTTTTCTTTGTATTTCTGGACTTATTACAGAGTAATTCGATAAAACTTCTTCAATGGTCAACCACATTGAAAGGAAATGCAATATACAAGAACCACAACTATCTTTAATTGCTCACAACCATAACTCTATATTTCAATTCTTTTACAAGGTATTCTGTTACTAGTAACATCCTCATTTCCGAAGCAGTCTTGTGGGGGTATTAATCACATTTAGTGATAGTTCTAGTTTTTATTGAACTGATTATACACGTAAGTTAACAAATTACATTTCATTGATACATTTACATAATGTACATTGTCTATCGATAAGCTTTATTTTAAATTAGGTTGGTATTTTCACAAATTCATGCTTAAACACACATTATGTCTCAGAAACAAATAAATTTTTACTTCTTTAGAAAGGACAGACATTTTTAATGTTTTTAGCTCGACTTTTCTATGAAAAGGGGAGCTATCCTACTCGCCCCGGCGTCGGCGTCGGCGTCACACCTTGGTTAAGTTTTTCGTACCACCCCACTTTATTTCAGAAGTATTACAAGTATGGCTTTGAAACTTACCATACTTGTTCACCATCATAACCTCCATCTACAGACAAGAGTACATAACTCTGTCAAGGTTTTTGACAGAATTATGGCCCTTTTTTGACTTAGAAAGTGTATTGAGCTTGGTTAAGTTTTTTGTACCACCTCACTTTATTTCAAAACCATTGGAGGTATTGCTTTGAAACTGACCATACTTGTTTACCATCACGACCTTCATCAACAGACAAGAGGACATAACTCTGTCAAGGTTTTTGACAGAATTATGCCCCTTTTTGACTTAGAAAATACATTGAATATGGGGTAAAATCCACTTATTGCCTTAACCCTTTGAGATATTGCTTTGAAACTTTTAATGCTATTTCACATCATTACCCCCATCTGTACGCAAGAGAAGGTAACTCTGTCAAGGATTTGTTTTTAAAAATTAAGGCCTTTTATCGACTTAGAATCTTGGTTAAGTTTTTAGTACCAGTCCACTTTTTGACTGAACTGTTTGAGATATTAATTTGAAAGTTGGAATACTTGTTTACAATCATGATTCCCAAACATGTCCAGGAGAAGGTAATTCTGTCAAAGATTTTATTTGAATTATGGCCCTTAACTGTCAATGTTTTGTATTATAGGCAAGCACTAAAAAACTTAAAAAATCTAAAAAAATTCATTCCTATCCACTTGTTCACTTTACCATAAATTATGTCATATAAACATTGCTGTAATATTCAAGGGTATCAAACAACTAGTTCACTTTAAAAATACAGAGATTCTTGTATTGCCTTTTACTGCAAAAACTTTTTTTATTGGCAAGCAATAAAAAAGTCGAGCGCGCTGTCTTACGGACAGCTCTTGTTAGAGACTGTTAGATGCTTGTTAACCTGAAGAAAGTCATGAAAAATGTGAAATAGTTTGTCATAAAAGTAGGAAAATGTAAATAAAGTATTTTTTTGACTTCCATACAAAATACTAATTCATTATAAGTGTACTTGTTGCCAAAAAGCAACAGATAAAAAAGATTGTTCTCATTTGCCAATGGGAACATTTTTTATACTATAAAAGTATTACAAAATAAAAAAACTTTTGAGAAAATATTAATACAGTTTTGTCAAGGTGGATTTATTTGAAATATTTTGGGTTATCTAGAGGCATGCAAAATTAGCAAAATTAAGGTCACTCTCTGAGTCAATGTATATGAGCCGCGTCACGACAAAACCAACATAGTGCGTTTGCGACCAGCATGGATCCAGACCAGCCTGCGCATCCGCGCAGTCTGATCAGGATCCATGCTGTTCGCTTACAGCATGGTCGTTGGTTTTGTCGTGACACGGCTCATACAGTTTTAATGTTGGATTTTATATTTCAGAGGTCGACTATTGGTAGGGGTTATGTTTGCTTTCATACTTCACATGTTTCTAGTATACAGTGTAGATAATAAAGCTTTAAATCATGTGATGAGAGCATCTAGTTCAAGTTGGTTACAGGAACATACAACAGATATCAGTGAAAGGTACTCAATTATATACATGTATATATAAAAAAGTTTGATTCCTTGTGTGGATCTAATGTATAAAAAATAATTTTATGGGAAATGCAGAAAATAAATATTGTTCATTTTTTTGTATGTTTAATTCTGTTAGAGATTTCAATGGTGTACACATATCTTCAGGCAGTAACATATGATAATTATTATATGTTACATATATCACATACCACAAATATCAGTGAAACTTAGTCATTTATAATTTATAAGACAAGCTGTGTCTTTGTTTATGAAATTATATATATCAGTGAAAGGTAGTCAGTAGAATGTTGTTTTTTCTCACAAAAATGGACCTTGCTTAATGAGTTTATAGATTTACGTAAAAGACGTCAGTTTTATTATATATTGCATATCATAGATAAAATAATATAGATATATTTAACAGATGGAATATATCACAAAACATTCTCCTTTGTTGGTTACTTTAAAGATATCATGAAAGGAAAGAAATAAATATATCTATAAATCTAAACCTTTGCAACGGGTTATAAAAATTTCATTGGAAGACTTTACATAGTTAAATGTATGACATTCACGTGTTTGATTTGTTATTATTATCATTACTTTATACTATAATGATAGGAAAAAAAGCTAAATGTCAGTTTATGCCATTTAAATGTTGAGTAATATTATTTTATTGGCAACAATATTGTTTGGGGTTTTCCCTATTTGACATGGAGGAAAGGATATATTTGAGCCGCGTCATGACAAAATCAACGTAATGCGTTTGCGACCAGCATGGATCCAGACCAGCCTGCGCATCCGCGCAGTCTGATCAGGATCCATGCTGTTCGCTATCAGTTTCTCTACTTGTAATAGGGTTTGTAAGCGAACAGCATGGATCCTGATCAGACTGCGCGGATGCGCAGGCTGGTCTGGATCCATGCTGGTCGCAAACCCATTATGTTGGTTTTGTCGTGACGCGGCTCATTTTATATTTTCAGTTTATGCTACCTAATACCAGGTTTAAGCAAGTTGTTATTACCACGGATCAACCCACTGGCCCTGATAGCTTTTGCTGGAGGCTTTATGCTTACAATAACACATGTTCTTATTGATACAAAGTGAGTATATTAACATGTTATTTAGGTCATAACGTAATAACATGTCAATGTAGTAAAGTACCAGTGTGCTGTATAAACAATATTAATATGTCAATGCAGTTAAGAAGCAGGTCATGCTGTGCATCAATGCAGTTTGGCAAGGCTCTATAATGTTTGTTGGCCAATTTTCAAGTTGGAAAATGCAACAGGATAAATGTTACAGTAAAATAACAATATTTGTTTGCCTTTTCCTGAACCTCTATCAATAATTATAATGTTTGTTGAAAGCTTTAGTTTATATTCATCAATTTATTTATTAACAAAAGGGCCTGTATGCACCTCACTGTGTAAAAGATTTACACGTACAACTAGCTGTCCAGATGTTACTGGACTGGTTGTAATTGAGTGCCTGTTTGCACCTGAAATAATGCATAAAGGAACACCTGAGGTCTCCCTCCACCAGTCAAGCTGTAAAGTCACTATATGACCTGTACATTGTAACTTGAAACACTAAAGAACACTTGCTAAGAAAAACCAAATTACTAGATAGTCTCATCACATTAAAAGATTTTCTGCTTTTTGCAAGATTTGAAAAGAGTTCAATAAATCTTAACATTTCCAATTATATTCAGATGTAAAAAAATCCCTTAACAAAGCAGCAGTAAAAACTGCTTACATTCTGTGCAAGACTGGTCCTATATACACGGTTGTTTGCATATATTACCCAGGCCACTAGGCGGGGGTTATATTTCACACAGTCTTTACATAAGTAAGGTCATACATTGTATAACCTGTCAAACAAATTTATGATACAGTATACTTCTTTTACTTGAGAAAAAATTGAAATTACTTAATAAATTGAGAGTATCCATGTATCATTATATAGCTTATATAAATGTCAGGTTTATCCAACGAAAAGTGACGTTACAAACATGCAGTATTATATTATTTACAGGAGTTATTTTTCATCTGACACATTGGCAGCCATGATGATAGCTGTGATGACATGTGGTACAATGTTTCCTATGGCTGTCTATACTGGCAAAATACTTCTACAGGTAATATTTACTTCAAAATACTTCTACAGGTAATATTTACTTCGAAATACTTCTACAGGTAATATTTACTTCGAAATACTTCTACAGGTAATATTTACTTTATAATACTTCTACAGGTAATATTAACTTCGAAATACTTCAACAGGTAATATTTACTTTGAATTACTTCTACAGGTAATATCTACTTCGAAATACTTCTACAGGTAAAATTTACTTCAAAATACTTCTACAGGTAATATTTACTTCAAAATACTTCTACAGGTAACATTTACTTCAAAATACTTCTACAGGTAATATTTACTTCAAAATACTTCTACAGGTAATATTTACTTCAAAATACTTCTACAGGTAATATTTACTTCAAAATACTTCTACAGGTAATATTTACTTCAAAATACTTCTACAGGTAACATTTACTTCAAAATACTTCTACAGGTAATATTTACTTCAAAATACTTCTACAGGTAATATTTTGCTTTGATACTTCAAGACTTGACAGTTGGGAATTACTTATAGGGACTACATCGTATCTGTCAATATCATAGAATTTCTTAACGGTATATTCTTCTTGATGAATTTGTTATATTTTTGGTTTTAACTTTTAAGTAAACTGTTTTTTGTTGAATTTGTATGGATTATATTCAGTGGGACAAATACGCTAAATGTAAAAGATAAAGGCCCATAATGCCCCACAATTTTTTTTTTTATTTTTCAAAGCTTTTTATTTTTGATGTCTGATTTTATTTTCCATGACCCTTGGTTTTCTTCCGTTGCTTTTTGTAAATAAGTACAGTTATAGTGATTCAGTATTTTGTATGGAAGTCAAAACACTACGTTGTTTACATATTGCTACTTCTGTGACCAATAATTTCACATTCAGCACTACTTTCTTCAGGTGATATCCATCTAACATGCTCTTAAACCATTACCTAAATGTTATGACACATATTTTCTCTTTTTACAGAAGGAAATATTTATTTATTTCTGGAGCATAGTGTGCCTTAAAGGTAGAACGCGACACTTTGCGAACTTTCAAGTAGCGTCTTGAAAATTGGCATGCAGAAAGTTGACCATATATCTGATTAGATTCCGTTGATTTTTTTCCGATAGTTTTACCCAATTTATGTACATACGATGTCAAAGTGGACCATCAAAGCCGGTTTTTAAACATGACATCATTGCGTATCCTTGGCAACTGTTAGGGTATCACAACGCCATAGGCAGAAAAAAATATCTTAAATTCTACAGCATTCGACGGAAATTATTTTTACCTTTAAGCTGATATAAAATTTATCGTTTTACGCGGAAAATTGTTTGAAAAATGGAAAGAAAACTGTCAATTTTGTTTAAAATTAGACGTTCAGTTTAGCCGCTTTTTTCGGCTTTTAAGCGGCTTTATAAAAAAATTCCTGAAATAAATTTTTGATTTTTTTCTTTAAACGTCCTTTAAAATGTATACTCAGTCTTAATGACTAAAAATAATAGGGGGTTACCGACATAGTGACTGAGGCATAGTGTGCCTTTAAAGGTACTTGCAAATGATTTGTTATATTAATATTTCAGACAACTCCAGCCCATATGTTAGGACAGTTAGACAAAGTTCTGAGAGAAGCCTCTACACTAGATGGTGTTTTAGAATTCAGAGAAGAACATTTCTGGACTCTCTCATTTGGATCCCTGGTAAATTGATAGTTTTATTTTCAAATGAATTTGGAACACAAAGATTCTTTATGTCAAATATTTATATGTCCCTTTTTATCTGCAAGTGGGATATTTTGCCCTTAATTCAAGGTTTTCAGAGATGAGTAACTCATTGGAATAAAGTAGGTTATAATTTCTTGAATTATGCCCCTTACATGCACTCCAGTTAAAAAGAATATCACTTAGATGTTATTTGTTTCATATTTATATATTGATTCTTTTAAAAAAAAGACATCAGTTGACCAATTAGTAATTATAGCATAGATGTAAAGGCAAGATAATTGATATATGTGTAATGCAGAGTTTTACATTAATTAAAGGAAGTTAATCTATCAGTTCTTGACGGTTTATAAAGCTGTACAGTCAGTGATACTATGTTATAATTTGTTAAATTAATATAGTATATTTATTCAAGCTCAAATGCAAATAAAAAATGATCTAGCAAGTTATAAATATCAATAATACTTGAGTCTGTTTTCTGGAGGTTAACACATTACCAGATCTGGTGTTACATGATAAAATATATTTCCATGTCCTAAGTAGGGCTTGGTTTTGTAGAGGCAGACCTCTTAACCATCAAGCTATCTCTGCCCTAGGTTGGATGACAGATTAACATAAATGGCTGATTCTACATAATCTGCTTTGAAGAAATAAAACTTTGAAGCACCTTGTTTTAATTACATGATATTAATTATTTAATAAATGTGAGTCAATGTATTTTTGACTTTCATCAAAGTCTGTCCCAGCAATGCTTGAAATTTGTTTAATTACAATTTTCTCTAATGCTAAAAACAAGAAATAGATATTGGCATTTGCCAAACCTTTCTTCTATATTTATCAAACATTGTCTGTGATGTCCTTTGTTAGTTGTTTCCCAATGATAAATAAATGTGTTTAAATTTGTACTCTGATGAGCATCAATACAGAACCATTATTGCTGTCTTGCAACAAACTAACATGAATATATATCTGAATTTCAGGCTGGTTCAGTACAAGTTAGAGTAAGACGAGATGCCAATGAACAGCTTGTTTTATCTCACGTTTATAACAGGTTGTCTAATCTAGTATCTAACCTTACTATTCAAGTGTTTAAAGATGATTGGACAAGAGCTTCTACCTATAGTTTTATGGGTAGCGGGGCTAACCCCGCCTTCCAGTCATCGTACCATTATTCAGGGCCCCCGTTACTGCCGGCCAGGGGACCTTCACCTACACAGGACACTCCATTTACATCATCATTAATGAACCAGAACAAACAAACATTGATGACTCAGCAATATGGAGGGTATGGGTCATCTCAAGGTCATTCACATGAAGGTCATGGTCATGGACATTCACATGAAGGTCATGGTCACTCACATGGCCACAAGTCTAATTGGTGATCTATAGAGTTTTACATGTTAAGTAGGAAAGAAAACAGTTTTGTTCAAATTAAAAGATTATTAATTTGTTGTGCAATAAGTACATTAAAAACATTTTGAATAACAAATTCAAATTAAGGAAATTATGTTAAGAAAGCACCCTCAGCAAGGTAATTTTTATTGCAAATAAAGTTATTTCTGGTTATGATAATTGGGTCTACAAAGAATGGCATTATTTAAAGATTTTAGGGTTTTATGTTTTTTTACTTGTAAATCAATATATTTTTTCATTTGTGGTGTACCATGAATCTCAAAATAACATTTTAGAAATTTTAAGGCTGTGTCTTATTCCTTCTAACTATTTAAAAAAAAGATTTTGTTTCACAAGAAGAAATAAATATTATAATTATTAATATTTTAGAATGTTTGAATGAATAAATAAATTCTGTGATACATAAGGCGAAAAGAGACTTTAGGAACAACATGTATGTATGTTTGAGTATTATTTATGTGAATGTGTATTTGTGAACATGTATATATGTACATGTATAAATGTAAACATGTTTTGTGATGAGTGAAGAGGTGCAAGTTTTGTTCTCATTAGTAACTTCTGGTGAAGTAGAGATATTCAACTGATGTAATTTGAGTGTGAGTCAAATCAACTATGACACATCTTAAACCTTAAAATATGTCAAAAAAGTCATATAAAATAGTCATAACTCCTGTGTAAGGTGTCGGAGGTCGTCCAGCAGTTTTGAACATTTTGTTAATGCATTAAAGTTTATTAACTTTATATGAACTATATAAATTGTAAGTTTGAAACTGCAATACAAATTATAAGGATAATTTGTTCCCGATCCTGCTTTTGTTTTGATAATGCAGAACCATAGTCTGATGTCTGAACAGAATTGACACGAAGATAGATTGTTACCTACATGTATTATGTTTGCTTTATTTACATGCGATGGTTGTGTAATGTGAAATTGTCAACAAAAAAAGAATGAAAGAAATTTATTGATAACAAAATTGAAACTGGTTTTTTGTAAATTTTTATCTGATCACATGCACATGGTTTATGAAAAATAAAAGTCTTTATTATTATTTTCGTTCTTTATGTGTTTTTGTATTATTATTAAGAAAACTACCATTTGTCATCCTGTTTTAAGAGCATATTTTATACGTCATTAAAGATACAGTTTCCCTGTGGAAGTTTCTCATTATTAACTTATAAACATGTAAAGTAAACTAACCTAAATGCAAAATAAGCTTAATTTAATATCCAGTAACATGTTCTTGTACATAGTAAAGTCAAGTCACCTATATAATATAGGATGTTACTAAGAGTGATTACTGGAATCACGACCATATTTCCGCTATACTGGAAAGATGACCATATTTCCTCTTATAACACCATGGTACTGCAGCTGATCTGACAGTCGTCTATATAGACATTAGAATTAATCTCGGTCATTTAAAGTAATATATACAAGCAGCTAGCATTCATTATAATAGATGTATCACAATACTCTTGTAAATGGACATGTCCAACCAAAGACGTTTTCGCTACTTAAATGAATAGTTGTTATTGGAGAACCATATTATCTGTAAGTTTATATCATCTTGGAATCTTGTGTTAAGAAAGAATAAGTTTTATCAAGCATGACCAGAAGTGTATACATGTAATTGGATTCTTCAAAAACGACATTAACTTGATATATGTAAAGTCAAACTAAAAACATGGACCTACAGAATAAAAAGTTCATTTTATCATCTTGTATTGTTATAGTACATGTCAACAGATTTATTATATACAGATGTTTGCACAGCAGTTATTGTATCACGAAATGTGGACGATTGTTGGACTTTTGTAACCAAACGGTGTTGTCCTCCTGTGAAACAAAGCGGTTGTTAAAATAATTGCGGCAGTTCACAGTTCTTTCAGACAGGAATATAATTTCACAGCCAACAGAACGCATGTGAAGACCTTGGATCATCCTACAATTAAGTCAACCCTGCAATCTCTACTAAATTCATCAATACAGTTAACAGTATCACACTGTTTCTTCCCCAATACATTAATTCATTGCGCAAAACTCATTTGGATGTGCTATTGAGTGCATCAGAAAAAAATCGATTTGTTGCGAATGCGGCGTTGTCAAACGACCATATATCATGAAAATCGGTGACCCTGCGTTCTAACACGCAATGCATAACAGTTCAAACTGGACAGAAATCAATAAGAAGATTACAAAATGCATGAATCACCACTGTGAGAGATGTTACAGAGACCGATTGTCAGGTTTGGTGGTATGGCATACAATGCACGTCCAAATATGTTTAGTGCAGATTTAGGTGATAATGGTCCGTTAGGGGATTCTCTGGTAGAAACGCCTTACTATTTCTTCATTAGAACTTCTCTGATCTGTCCATTGGTGCTGTATAAATGACTCCCTTTTCTATCCCTTTTAAGATACATTTGAACAGTCAAGAAATTTTGAATCTGTACAAATGAAAGCAATCATAGAAATTCTACGTTTAATTATGTCTCACTGGTAAAATATGTCGAATAATGTCACCTGGGACACTAACAATAACAAAAATTAAGTAATCATGATGTCACGTTTTACAAAACGAGTGGTTTCATTTATCAATTTCACAAAAAATAATGTATACTTGATTGTACAATATATACATTTGAATGAAATATACGAGATGTAACTTGCGTTTTTAAAGTTTAAAAAAAAACATATATGAAGCTAAATCAAAGATTGAGGCCTTGGGGTTTTTCAATCATTACACTTAAAAACGACCTCGACCTTCTGTTGCAAGCTAGATAACTATCCCTCTTGGAGTTATTCAACTACCCATGCTGGATTTCGAACCCTTAGTTGAGAAGTGTAATTGGATAGTTAACAAGTAAATGTTCCCATAATCATAATGAACATGTTAAACAGAATGTGGTTGCTATGGTAATCAAATCAGTGTTCGGTATTCCTCGAAATATTCAAACCTACAGCAAACTTTAAGATAACGATAAATGGCCATAAAACATACAACAACATATTGAATGCTTGATACCTAGACGACATCTTACCGCAAGTCATTATAGGGTCTTAATGAACAAAGATTGTAATGTATGATAATTATAAGCATGGCAACTGTAAAAACACTTTATTCGCTTGATAGCAGTGTTCAATGATAAATGCTGTTCTACAGTTTTTTAATGATAAGAACATATGTCATCAAAATTTGTGGTCAGTGTAATTAATTCCTTAGTTAGCTAGTTGACCATTTCATTATTTCTTTTAATATATCTGTTCAAAATCTAATCAAACAACACGCTGTTGCAGAGCGTCAAATTGCACATTAATTAGATAAAATCATGTTTTACACGTTGACAGTACTGTTTAGCGTAAAAATATATGTTTCTTAAGATAAATATAAGCGTTTTCTGTTCACCATTAAGTACAGTCAGTACAAAGCTATATAGTTGCGATTATTCTACCAGTACTATATCAGGTCACGCCAGACTAACGTTTAAAGTCTGCCAAATATATGTACTGTTCCTGCACCATATCATATTTTATATATTTATCCTAGGTTAAAGTAATCGAAGTTTTACTGTATTGAAAATCATTGAATATGATACGCACGATTTTCTCGTGCGTCAGTAATATATAATAAAGTCGGTTAGACGTGTATATCATTCGAGGTTTTCTGCATTGCTACACACGTTTATTGTACTATATCATACACTGAATCCCTCCCACCCTCCCGAAAAGTACACACACTTACACCTACAAAGTAGAATTAATCTGCAAAGTAACGATGATTTTCCTTGGTTCTACATATAATGGCCATTATTATTCTTGCTGGAAACGTTAACAAAAAACGACAAGAATATTCATATAGTCGGATAGTTATGGTATTTGAAAAATATATTATAAAGGTGCATTTTAGATTAATTTACGCAAGCCGTTGCGTTTTGGTTACGATTTTAATTTAACTGAAATATTGTATATTTTACAGATTTTGCTCCAAGAATAAGATGTACTACTTTCTGGGATGTCCATTATATTGGAGAACGATTCTTTAGTGAAATGCTGACCCTTGAACTTTTCTGATTTCAAATTTAATTGCTTCAATTTTTATATTCTTTGTATTTGAAGATATTTTTTTGTAAAATGTTCTGAACTTATTCATGGAAGGCGTGCAGTTATTGAGCGTACATATTCGGCCTTTAATTACATTTTATGTAGTAAGTGGATTATTTTTATGGGGTTTCTCATTAAATTATGTCAGAACACTTACGGAAGGTGGCTGGTCTTGAGTTTTGGTTTCCTACTACGCCCCCTCCCACGATGGAGTAGGGTTTGCGCAGCCGACTCGCCAGCATACTGACAGGGAAAGTATGTTCATAACTGTGTGTTTTCCATGTTGATGTACGCCAATTAAGAAATGAGTTTATTGTCAAAAAAGACATTTTACATTATATACCGATTTAACGTTGAGATGTTATTTTCATGTGTATTACGATTTTGGTGTTGTTTCTAAGAATATGTGTTAACACTCGATAAACGCAATGCAGATAACAAATCCTAAATGTGAATCTTAGTGTAATTTGTTTTCTTTAATTCTTTTCGATTCCTTTACATTATGATAAAAGCTATTTCAATATCTACCAATATAATCGCAGCGAAACGTAGAAGACATGTAGAACAAATAACTTATAAAAATATAACTATAATCAAATTTACGACACATACATGTACATTTTGTACATACACAAAAATATCGGAGAGCAAGTCTCTTTGTTTAAACGCCATATTATTCATAATTTTGGTTTTTAAAACAAAGATATTGCAAATTATTACTATCTGGTATCCATCTAAATGAAAATTCATAACACCTAAGTGTTATAAAAAGAAATAATTTGGCCAAAACCAGCGGTAAAACCGCAATTGTTACAACAATTTTATCGGTATCAGTGTTTAAAATTAATAAGTCTTTTTTCATCTGAACCATATTTCATTTAAAAGTACATTTTAGATTTGAATTTAGATTTCAGGAATGATTTACATAAAATACAAAACATCTGCAAAACATAAAAAAAAGAAATAATCTTTACATCTGAAATAGATTTCTAAACCACAAATTTCGTAACACGGGTGTTTTATTGTTATGTCTTGGTGTGTGCTTTATTACCAAGTCAATAAAGATTGGTACTATTTTCTAACCGCACGCTTTTAAATACATGGGTTATAATAATATTTTTCTGTTTGTGGTTAGTGGAATACTTCACAAAGTAATTTTGCCTCCATATTTT